ATTGTTATTATTATTCATCTTTGATCAGTACTGTCAGTTAGTAGATTATCTAGAATCTAGATCTAAATTACAGAATAATCTAGATTCTAGATCAGTAGATCTTCTAGATCTAGATCTAGATTCTAACTGATTCTAGAATCTAACTAATCTAGAATCTAGATCTAGAATCTAGATCTAGATCTAGGCTAAATTCAAAATTCATTTTAAATTTTAACATGAAAACACATAGATCTAAGTCTAGATCTAGATCTAGATCTACGTGTAAACTTGTAAACAGATTAAGATCTAGAATCTTTAGGTCCTTTAGGTAGTCTAGATCTATTTTTTTAAAAATAATTAATAGGATGTCCGTCCAGGAGCATAAAACAAACAATGAAACATGAATGTGAAATGAAATGTGATGATTCATTCAATCAATTATCAAATGATTGAAAAAAACCATTGACTAGATCTCCAAAACTCTAGATTTTGAATGTAGATTCTAGATCTAATCAAAAATAAATCTAGATCTAGATTTCTATACCTATAGATTTGAATTCTATAAAAATAGATCTAGAATCCAGATCTAGTAGATTCTAACTCAAATTTAAAAATGATGAAAACTGGTGAACTGAAAATGATGAGAAGTTGAGAAGTTATTGAGAAGTCGAAGATTTACTTACATGACTAGTCGAGATAAAATTGCTGATACCATATTTCAGCATTTAGAATCTAATTGTATCCTTTAGACTACAGTATAATAAAACGTTTACTTTAAATCACCAATACAAAAGTAATAATTAGTAACACAGTCATCCCACCAATTTAAAGCCAAAGAGCGTTCAAATTTATTTGAAATTCCAAAGTTATAAGGCAGCCATTTTAATGTCGTCACTGCCGTCACGTGACCAAAACATAACCACATGTAGGTCATGAAATAAAAGTTCTCTACACCAAGGCTACAGACCCAGATAAAAAGTTTTCGAAAAAATGTTAGTGTTTTTTAAAAGAACAGCCCCTATTTTATATCAATTTTAACAATTCAATTTATCTTATTTTCGGAAAAATTATTTTTCACTCTAATTTATTTCTGTTATAATTCTTATATGTTGAGGAATTCTGATTTTATTCTTCAGACTTGACTCTGGAAGTGGAACGCTGAGCAGGATTGAGACCTACGGCTGTGTCTGCTAGAAATAAATAGATCTATGTAATTTGGCCTTAGGCATACTCCAGTACATAAGTCGAACTTCAATCGTGAAAACAATTGCATTTAATTTATAACAGATGGAATGAAAATAACTTTGATTTTGGCAACAGAAGTTTAATTATTTTTAAAAATAAATTAGGTACTATTTGTTACCCTGCGTAGCTACACATGAATGTGACCTTTTGACCTACCAGATGTCAGTGTATTCATCCACAACGTAATCGGGTGTAGTGACATTCCTCGGAATTTTGTATCTGTTTCTTTAAAAATGATCACTAAATATATTGTTTTTAAATTCATAATGTGAGGCATGGCTTATAAAAGTAGGGAGGAGCTTGTTGGAAAGCGCTTTATTTCCGTAAAGAGTGAAACAAAGCTTAAATTATCTAAAATTTCAGAGTGGGAATGGCGGTCTGGTTTTGTACGCGCTGTTTCTACTCGGGATAGTAGCAACGTTGAATTTACTGTAAGTAAAATTACTTTTTAGATCAAGAATCTATTCTAGATCTAGATCTAGATTTCGATGTGTTTTGCTTTATTTAACATTGTGTTCATGTTTGATCACGCATGACATTGATAATATGGAATAACAGGTTATTCAGTTCCCATCAAGGTTTACAAACACAATGTTCGTTTTTGCTCCCCCCCCCCCCCCCCCCCCCCCCACATAGAGTCTACACTTTTTTAAAAGTTTAGTTTACTAAGTTAGTGAACTCAGCATATTTGATTATTTCTGTCATCTCTGTAAATTTTTTAGCTTAAAATATGTTTCATAGTCTGTATAGTTACAGTAATAAATAACAATTTATATAAACTGGAGCTAGAATCTAGATCTAGATCTAGATCTAGTAGATCTAGATCTAGAAAATCTAGATGTGATGTAGGCTAATCAACCCCATAAATATAAAAAATTAGATCTGTTATCATTGAAATTAAATTCTAGATCTCTAGCTAGAGTCTGGAAAAACTATATTATCTAGATTCTAGATTTGGATTCTAGATCTCTAAATACAAGTAAGAAAGTTACCCTTTCGGACCTGACGTAGGCAGACAAAGTTTAGTTCATCTAAGCCTCTGCATACAAACTAAAGGGCATTGTATGGTCAGTAATACTACATCTACCACATAAATCTACATCTAGATCTAGATTCTAAATCTAGAATGCCATGCCCACCCGTCTTTACATTTAAAAAAAAATCAGAGCTAAGTGAATCAGGGACATACTAGAGTCTAGATCTAGATCTAGTAGCTTAATTATGTGATAAATAATATACATGTCTAGATCTAGATTCTACTTTAGTTAGTTTAGGCTACATCAGTTAATTACTCCAGTTTTATTTCTAATCTATGCATATCTGTCAATTTACTTCATATAGTTTTTTAGTCTAAGGCCTACTTTGTATCAATGCTCCTTAGTCATTAGAACATAACTTACTTATTTTGCCTAAATAATACCAAAGCTGTAGCCTACTAGATTTAGAATGTAGTGTTTTATTGTTAATTTATAATAATTTATCTTAGGTTACTCAGCAAATCAACAGCTTCTATAGGCCTATATAAGCCAAATAGATAGTGGTTGAACAATTTCAGTAGGCTATTTTAATTCCACTAAAAATTTAAGATCAACTTATTTAATTTTTAAAAAATCAAACTAGCCGTTAGTGTATTTGGAGAGTTAAGGTTTCATACTTATGTAAATTACTATATTTAGGCTACACATTATATTATTTTTTAGTTTATCCCCATCCCATAATTTTTCATTACAATTTCGTTTTTTTTTTTCTTCAAAAAATATCACACTTGATTCTGCAATTACAGACAGTTATTGCATTGAAGAGAAGTATGTACCTATCAAACAATAATAAACAATCATTTGACTACTTATTTCCTCTTTAGATTACAGAGATTTGATTCCCATTAATAAATATAAATGGGTTATTTTAAAACCCAAAAAATGATCAGTTATTTCTTTCAAATTCGGATTCTGGAGATGAATCTATTTACTTTTCATTTGTATTCTAATAAACATGATCATCAGCCACGAAAAAAGTTCTGGAGGGAAAAGAACAGAAATTCTGAATGATAAATAACTACAAATAAACAATGTGTGTGAATAACACTGGGATAGATCTAATACAGTTTCCGAATACCTTGTCCGGGGGGGGGGGGGGGGGGGGGGGGGGGGTAAAAATACAACAAAACATCATAAAAACGTCATTTAAACTATTAAAGCAATGCTTCATCGTACTGGTAAAACGTGGGTATTTGACTGATCATAATATTATTTTAATAAGAAATTGCTTAGTAGGCCTATCTAATTGATTTAACTTAAACTGTAAAGTAAAGATCGTACAAGTGGTTCCCGTTTGTTTTTGAAGCTTGTTTAGGTGCGTTACTTTATAAATCTAGTCGTCGTTATAGAGAGTTTAAAAAATTCAATCTGTATGTCTCTTTCATTTTTTTTTAAACGAAACCCTCACACTACGTGGTTGTTTTTATATTTCAAGCGTATTAGGTTTGTATATCCAAGGAGGGTTGCAATGTTAAGACATTATAAGCCAAAATTGAAAGAAAACAATTGTAGTTGGGCATTTTGATAACAAGCGATGGGTATTCAGATACACGACATCACACTCGTAGTGGAACTACATTGGGAATGTGGTTCAGAAAATGTTACAAAGTTTTTGAAAAGAATTTTGTCGGTTATTTTCAAAATATACACTTTTTTTAGTTTTATTAAAATGATCTTGACCTAACACAGTAAATAAATAAGAAGAGAGAAATAGCTATTTAAAAAATTCTTTGGGGGATGATTGTGCCGATTGGGTACATAGAAATCCAAACGTCATTTTTTCGACATTCTCTTATTATATCCATCAGTATGAGCCATCATAAAATTTGACTTCAACATGCCTCACCAATTGGCGTAGATAGCTAATACATTTTAAAAGGAAGACAATATCAACGTAAAACAGCGGAACATTTGTAACAGTTCACTTTTTTTTGTATTCGAGTATAAATGGCGAGATTTAAAAAAAAACCAACGATCAACAAATAAAGTAGCGTTGGATGGCGGGGCCGAATTGTAGAGCTTACGACCAGAGTTTCTTTCAGAAATCTCCCCCACTCCTCCCGAACAAAATAGAATGGATATAAATAAATTTATACTTGAACCACTATCCACCCCACCCCTCGAAGAAAAATATATGAAGGAAATACCGACTACGGTCGCAAGCCCAATTAGTCTCGAGTTTATAAATCTACAACGTCCCTTGGTACACCTAGCTCGAATGGGTACCTGTTTCACGTTAGGGAAACTAAATGTGGCTGGGCACAGTGCTGACCACACTATACCCCAGTATCAGAGGTCATTGAAAAGCTTAATTCTTCTTCTGCCTCACGTGTTTTGGGCAGAAACGGGAAAAGATGAAAAGATGATGTGAAATATCTATCGGTATCTGTTGACTCTACAGTCCCACATGTAGATCAGACATATTTTAAAAAGATTTTGTTGTTACGCTATGCTGAGTATGGGTACAGAAATCAATAAAAACATTTGTTGTTGATGGTGCGAAAACGTTTAAAAGCAGTAGACATGCTACATGCTTTGTCTAATATGTTTGGGGGAAATGTTGCTATTGATGTTAGAACGAGCTGTTTGAGTTCTTACAGCATTATCACAACTGCTTACTTGTAGATATATTTAAAACGTTTTGTTTAAAAGCTATCTTCTACACAGGAAGCCGCTACTATGCAATCGTTTTTTTTAGTAGCAGTAATCACTATTGCAAATTGTAGAGGGAAAAGCCTCTGTTCTTGTGTAGCGTGTAGTTACTGTAGGGTGGATCTCAACGAACCGTGTTGTATTAGTAGGCTTATATTATAGTGTATCTGTTGTTACATTTGTTTAATGAATATATACCATGTCTACGAGAAAAGAAGTAAGCAATTATTAGACAGTTTGCAGCAGTTTTAGTTGATGAAAAATCGTATGTAAATGCAGAAATAAATTCATCCTTTATATGTGTTAAGAAACTGCATCCTTAGTTGTACAATAAAAGAATATTGTTCATTAAAATACCGCGCAATCACTTGCTAGGTTTATATTATTATTTTCAGCCGAGCTAAACCAAACGCTCAACAAACACACCAAACCGTCAACACTCATTCGCCAAATAGATTCTTTTTCAAGGGCAACACGCTGTGTAACTTCAGCACATGTTTCCCCGCATTGTTTTATCGCTCAGAGGCTTTGGTAGAATGTAAACAAGTCTTAAATCTACCATGTGTGACGAAATATTTATTTCGAGATACTGAAAACAGGCCCGTGTTTTGCGTTAGTCTAAAATCATTTTTTATTAGCATTCTTTCATTATCACCCCCCACCCCCCCACACACATTTGTAATATACTAATAGTACACGTTCGTTGTAAAATATAGCATTGATTATATATTATTGTTTTGTTCTGTTATTCAAAGTCAAACACCTATATAATACATTAATTGCCTTTGTTACATTGTATCTACTTTGGCAGTCCCTCTTGCGTTGACATAAATTGACATTTTATTGTGTTTATAGTGTAGTTATAGGGCTATGTGTGAATGAAAATTAAAATGCAGTGTCACGCGAATGCTATTTGGATGTCACACCCCGTAACAAAGACTAGTGTAAGTTTTAAGAGTATTGCAGTATCTGATTTTCATGCCCCCCCTACCCCACCCTTGCTAATGAATTGCATTATAACTTTACTGCAAACTCAAGTGCGTATTGGTGGTGTTTTTAAATACTGTACAAAACTATTAGTTTATCTAAATTTATCAATGAGCACCAGCTGAGCCACATCCGGACCAATGATTGTTACCCATATAGTTTTTATAGATACTAGATCTAGAGCTAAATCTCGATATACGACAGAGGCACACTAGAGTTGAGTCACTTTTTAAACCATCGTCCTCGGAATTAATTAAACGTGAGCTAAAATGTACAATTTATGTACTGGTGAGCTTACAAAGTTACATGGGTACATCCATATCGAAACTTAGGATAGTCCTGCGTTTTGGTAGTTTGGCGTAACTCATTCTGATTTTTAAAAACCATAATACTTGCGTTTTCTTACTTAAAAAAACTATCTGAAGTACTAAAAAAACTTTAGTAGGCCCTATATCAGAATATCACATAAAAAAGACCCCCACCTTAACGCTATGTGCTAACATTTCATGAATATTAACCAGTATGTCGCATTTATTATTTTTTGTATCGTCTATTTTGTATATAATTTTTAACACCACAAAACCTCGGGTTTTTGTTTTTTTTAAATAAGGTACTGAAAACTCGTGTCTTTGAGCTTTTATATCCCCACTATTTCATGAATAACATATTTTTTGGTTTCTTTTTTTTTACTCATTACTTACATATCGTTTTTCTTATTATTTTTAGTGTATGTTTATGGTGTGATATTATAAAATAGTTTTACTATTGTTAGCCTTGTTTAAATGTTAGCCATCGTGTTTAGATTATGCTGAAAAAGTCGTCTTGTTTGTGTTATCTAACATAGAGAAGGTACACCGATGGCTGTGATCTCCATCTTTCCTCTTATATCAAAAGCACTGGTGACGTTTTGCCAATACTGTGCCAGCTATGTTACTAAGCTTTAGCGAGGATTTGGGGAGGGGTTGCCTAGCTCAAATCAATACTTATTTAAACTAGAGCTGTACATTAATTACTTGAGCATAGTTAGACTTAGCCTGAGTAACTAACAGATGCACTGCAAGTCTTGTACATTGTTTAGGTAATCCCGTGCTTATTTTTCCTGGGCTACTTCTCGGTCTATTCCCTCATATTAAAAACACTCATTCAAGCTAATCCCATTAGTGTTAACATCCGTGTGTATAAACTATACATGCATATTCTCTAATCAGACATGTCTTTTAAAAATTATCAGGTTATTTTTATTACTCATTTTAAACTAAGTATTATATTAATTTATATTTTTAAAGTCATATCAGTGCTTTAGGCCTAGACATATCCCACCACAGGTTACATACATTTAGTTTATGTTTTTGTAGTTGGCTCATTGTGGTTACAGTTAAAGTAACTCAGAATTAACAGTCCATTTGTGTATAGGGCTTTAAGGTTTTTTTTTTTTTTTTTTTTTTTTTTTTAGAAACTTTTGCCCCGTCACCTTTATTTTCCCAAACCTGAGTTAGGTACCCATCAAAGCTGGTGGACTCAGGGACGTCCTAAGTAGTCCTATAGGACAGGGTACGTACAGAGACCCTCGGACTAGTAGCCTAACGCTCTACCATTCGATCACTCAGTTTGTTCATACATAACATTAGTTTATTTATTAGCAAATAGCATATGGATACTTATGTATCAGCATCCCTTTTGTAGTCAATTGTTAATGCTTTAAAATAATTTATGAGCCGCATTTAAAAGTTAGCCTTTATAAAAATTATACCCTGATAGAAAGTGCAATGCAACACGTTTTATAAGTACTTGTTTTATCATTTGTAAATTATTTTTACAAAAAAAAAAAAAAAAAAAAAAAAAAAAAAAACCCACTCACTGGTAATTAAAAGAGACGCACTCTCACACATTTTTTTTTGCATGCGTTTCTAGAGCCGATGTTTGCCTTTCATTGTCTCGGTCAACATTGATGGCTTTAGGGTAGTAGTAAAATTTGAATGATCATTTATTCATTTTATTATTTTTTCCTTATGTATCCCATTTCCAACATCACTGTTTTACCTCAGTAAAACCCCCACCCCGCGGCTCTTTGTTTAACCTATATAAACATTGGGAGTTTCTTGCTCAACTGGTTGTTGCTTTCCCTTCTGAGGTCGGTAGTGTTGGCTAAGGGATATAACTAGAGAAAACAGGTTATTACTCAGCTCTTCAGCAAACAAGGGTTATCAATCTTTGCCTGTTCCCAGTCATTGTGGCTTTTTATTTGTGCGTTAATTTTAGTTTTCAGAATAAATCTCGTTACATATATTTCTTTATGATAAAGATCTCTTAACAAAAGCAAAATAATCTATTAAAAATTTCAAAGTATTCAGTATTAAAAAACGATTTTTGTGTATGCAGAAAGCCAGAAACCGTATATTTCTTACATAATAGCAACATTTCTACTAGGCCTTTATAATAATATATAATTTATTCTCCAGGTATTGGTGGAGTTTGATGATACGGGTTGGAAGTCTCGGGAATATGTCAAAGTGCACGAAGTATTTTGTGAATTTTTAGTTGAACACACACTTTCGTGGGTGGAGAAAAAGGATCATAACCACTCGGATACGTTGTGGCCCGCGTTGGTAAGCTTTTTAACTTTTTAAATATGTGTCATATTATTTCCTTTGTGGGAAAAAAATGTTTTGAGTGCTCTTTAACTTTCGTAAATGTTAGTTTTGAATAATTGATGCGCGGTTTGTGTGTGTGTGTGTGTGTGTGTGTTAATTACTGGGATTTAGATAGAGAAGTGTTAGGTAACTGTTATTCCATTTGGAATAATGACAGTTATATCAGTATTACGTCTGCTTCCAACCCCTCCACGAAGATTTCAGCATCAGTTTAATTAATAAAATTATTACCTTGGTGTTAAAAAATAATTAAGGGGGTCATTGGTTATCTCTATCGTGTCCATAAATATGTATTATGTAATCAAAGAATATAGTCCACAAATAGATATACTGATGTCAATATTCTATTTCCTTTGTTTATGTGTGCCATAGAAGTATAACACATCATAAGCTAGTGTTAGAAAATGGGCGGGGAGCAGGGCGGTGTTGCTGATAAACCAGTGTAGGGATCTCTGTTGAGGATTTCCACACAAGTACAGCGCGTCCTTTTTTTCACCACCCCACCCCCTCCCATGTGCGTGTTTCTGTGTGTGAGGTGTTCCGGACGTGGAGAGGCCACGGCACATTGAGATTGAACCTGTCAGGCGAGATGGATTACTCGGCTAGGTTCGGGACGGGGTCTTTTGGTGGGAAGGGAGAGAGAGGGGGAGAGGGCGGCGAACTTAACCTCTTTGACTTTTTTCTCTTTGCTGTGTAGCTATAGCGGGCTCGGCCGAGGGGATGTCTCAATGATTATTTTGCGAGAAGTCTGGCCCAGTCGGGATTTTTTTTTTTATCTTTGGTGTTGTATTTTTTTTTTCTACTTCACTGGATTGCAAAATTAACATCCACATGATTCATTGCAGTGAATAAGATAGTAAAAGGTTATACTTTATCAATGTAGCGATTTACACTAACAATTGATCACGATGACTATATTTTTATCACTCAAAAGTGGTTGCATTTTTAAAAAATAACAACATAAAATCATAAAGCTTGTTGAACTTGCTGGTAGTGGGGGAGGTATTTACCTATGTAACTTTATAAGCAGGAGATTTCTTTCTTTGGGATGGAGTTAGGTGCTAGTTTTTAATGTATATTTTCTTATTTAATTTAATTATCAAAAGGCATACTGATAATGTTCAAACGTGGTAAGGGAATTACGGTGTATTAAGTATACTACAATGTGTTAGGAACGCCGGGGTGGGTGTAATACTTGCTTTGACGCGAAATATTGATTATATTATCTGAAAAAAAAAAAGACTGGTGTCATGAGGACAAAAGTTCTATTGAGGAGCGTTAGGCTGAGTAAGAAAGGTTAGAAACCACCAGTGTCTGTAGCATACAAAAGATCTAGGACACGCTGCCTACGTCTGCTTTTCTTCTGTGGTCTCTATATTTTCTCTGCATTCATTAACAGAGAAAGCATTGAAATCCCCGTTAGACTTTACACATTTTTTTCCCCTATTTTGTTTAAGAGTAACACCTATTCATGCCAAACGTTTTTCAACGTTGTACACATTTTTATATATTGATTTTCATTAATTCAAAAATCTGTTGCAAAATCTGGCTCAGACCTAAGTTAATGTGTCCTTAAACTGTGATATTGCTACTTGTATTAATGGGGGTTATAATATCACGATTGATCTGGGGGATATGGTGATGTGGTTTAAGCGAACATGTAGTTCGTTTAGCGTATTTTTTAAAATAAACTCTCCCACTCGATTTATAAAAGGTTAAATGATGTTTACAGTACGCTTTATCCTAAGGAACAGCAAGCCTCGTGAGTTATACCCCTCGGTTGCCAAGACGACGCAGATGCAAGGAAGCAAGTTGCTCCCTTGTCAGTTGGGGGTGAATGCATCTACTTCACCAGCCAACTGCCAGTCGATTGACATGATTTCGTGGTGCACGGGTTCAGCACGTAACCATGTAGCATCTTTTACACGCCCCCCTCCCTCCCCCACCATTCCTGCCCGAGTATCACCGCCGCTTATTACTCCATAGTCTTAAAGAGTATTCCGAGGGGGGAAATTCGAGATGACTCGCCTATTGATCTAAATCTCAGCGCGTGGTGTACAATCTGTGAACTATGGGGGAGAGGGGGAGTGGGGGTTTGGAAGAGGTTGAGTTGGGAAAAAGAATGAGGCCAATCGTATTTGCCGTGCGAGGAATTTCCAGCTGCTAGTTTATGTAACCAGACGCTAGAAATAGCGGCTGGGGCCCTTGTGATATTATTACTCTCCTATCTTCCAGTCTGCTCTATTGATTCCCCGAGTAATTCTCTCTTGTTTTTTTTTTTAAATACGTGCAGTGTTTCAAACCTGTCGTGGACAAAGCGGGGTTATTTCACCAGAGCAAGCGGCCTGTCGAGTTTCTTAGTGATCGATTACTCAGTATAGTGGAGGAGAAAGATATTACATTTTATAAAGTAAGTACTTTTTTCTTTCACTTTTTATGAGAATCAATATCCAGCATAGCTTTGTGAAGATCGATGGGTTTATTCATGAAAAGATGCACCTCATTGATTGAATAGAATTTGTAATTCAATATGACCACATCACGTGTTTATAGTTTTTTTTTTAAACCGCAACATATGTCTCGGTAGGGAAGTAAGTGCATTTTCGTGTAGGATATATATAGCATCGAGAAAATCGATCGTACATATTTTAAAACAATCGCCTTTACGCTGCGGGAAAATATCGTGCAGTCAAGTTTGTTGATCTGTTGATGATTAATTATAATTTCCACGTGTACAAAATCATTGCCATTAAGTAGTTTGCTCAGCAAAACTTGCTGCTTGAGGCAATAACGGTTTGATCAAATCAAGTTGATTAGTTCACAGTTTGTCCCGACCCAATAAAAAAGCTTGTTTGTTTTGTTTTTAAACTGAAAATTAGACTTAAAAAAATATTATCCTTGATATTATTTGTATTGTCTTTGTATTGCTGTCGGTTTTAAGATATTTTCTATCGATGTTTATGTTTGAATGTGACAAAAATGGCACTTTTAAAATATATATAGTAAATAAATTAAAATTATATTTTAAAATGTTTAAGCTTACATTTAGCTTGATTATTTCAGTTATTTAGCAATAGTAATTTTTTTTAAATAGATATTTAGATTCACATGCTCTATGTCATTTTCTAGGCTACATGTAATCACACCTCAGTCCATGCAGTAATATTTTCTTATAAATAATCACGATGGACTATCCATTTCTCAAATAACAGTATACATTAAAAACGATATATAAAAGTAAAAACAACCATACTTTGTTTGTATACAGTAATTCTCATGGCTGTTCAGTGTAAATAAAACAACTTGACGGATGGTTTTTTCTTCTAATTTGTTCAGGAAGGGGACGAGAAGACACTTCCGTCAGTCAAGAACAGCCCCGACGTAGTAAAGTGGGTTAAAGCCTGGACAGATTATCAAGACGGGCAGAAAATATTGCTTACCACTCCCACCGTGTTGTTGGGCTATCGCGTAGAGGTCTACCGTACCGAAGGCACCACCCAGTGGTATACTGCCGTTATCAAGTCTTACAACCACACAAACAAGGTAAGCTTTGAACTTGGTTCGTCTGTTGTTAATGACCTTTCTCACCGATATTGTCTGTCACTGTGTTTGATAAAACGGTTTATTTGGGATAGTCTTTCATGTTTGTTAATTCTCAAATATTTTGTTTTAACTAGAGAATCGATGTTAGCGCTAACATAACTCGAATCATATCGGGAATAGCTTTCGGGGGAGGAAGGGAAATGAGGCATCCCTTGTGTTGGCATTTCGCAATCAGATAAATTAACGGGGGTAAGGGGGGATAGTGGGGTTTGGCGAGCTGTTTGGCAACATTTAATGTACCTGTCTTTCCATCGTCGGGCAAGTGTTTTCTTTGGCACGTTTTCTAATCTTTCAACACATTAAAACCATAACTTTTTTTTCCTCTTGTTAGTGCAGTATATTTTCTTTTACACTATTTAGCGCGTGATTCAAATGCATATTTCAAGTAGGCTTAGGCCTATGTGTGCCATGCTTTGTGTAGGGGGGGGGGGGGGGGGGCGAGGGTGTAGTCCTCTAAAGACTAGACACATAAAAATAAATAGTTATTGATTTTCTTTTTAAATTCATAAGATAATTGTATAATTGCTTTGCTCTTGACTGGTTGTTTTAAAGGATCTCCAATTGTTTTATTTGTATTTTACAAAACTGTATATAAATATAATATCAATTTTGCTCTGTACACTATTAATAATAGGCAAGCCTCTCTTGGAGGAGTTTCACATGTTTAATATTAATTATTTGATCAATCTTGTGTAAATGTCTTGCCTCTTTTTTTTTTTTAAATCAATGTTGTGTTTATTTTGTTTACAAAGGTTAAGTCTGTTCCATAACCCATGCACATTGTTTTGAATATGATCAGCCCTATTGTCTTCCACCATGTTGTGAAATTTTTCCCCTAGCGCAATAAATAGATTTTCTAAAGGTCGAGCCGTCATCTGGAGTGGAAGTGACTGTAATTCTGTGTCATTATGTGTATGCCACACCGATCGATTCCTCTCGATGATAGCTTTTTCTTAATCCTGGCGTACTTTATACTTTGTCTATGACACATCATGATTTCACTCACGTCAAACTGTTTGTTGCCAGCTATTTCCATGCCTGGTAAATGTCAGCACTAATGGCTTAGTGAAATAGAGAAGCCGGTGGAGGAGAGGGGGGGAGTGGGAGGGAAAGGGGGGGGGGGGGCGTTGACTTGCCTTTGGCAATCTGCGCCGGCTCGGTTTTGTTTGCCTTTTGTAAAACTGTTCGTGACCTAGTTTAGCAGACATACACCTGCCGGGGCGATGAATATCGTTCTCTGTTAGACTTATGGAACATGTGAGCTACAGGTTAAGCCACGAATACACTCTACCGCCGTTGTCAGGCCTTACGTGCGCTGTTGCTTCAGTTTTATTTTTAGGCAGGCCTCGTCTCAAGGATTAAGGGGGGCTGGTTGCTTGAGCGTTTTAAAAATGTGTTTTTTTAAACACACTTTACTTCGTTGTTTTTTTTTTTTTTAATAATGGGAGTCAATGTCCTATTGTATTGTTGTCTTGGGCTCTTAAACTTTTTTTTATATATGAAAACTTTTTTTTGCGGTTTTAATTAATTGTATGCTGTTTTTTTTTCTTTTGTGGTATTGTTTGTTCGTGCTGTCGTGGCGTGTGATTAAATGACCTCAACAGTTTATTACCGCCAAGGTCTTTAGTAAACAGGATACCCAGAAATGCGATAACGTCGATAATGGCATACCCTGGCAACGTGTCTGCGCAGTAAGACGGCGGACAGGGTGAGGAGGAGGAGGGGGGGGGATGTTTGTGGCGGGAAAAGCCATTAAGAATTGGCTTCCACCCACTCTCCCAGGCAGAGTACTCAGGGCTAGCCGTTTTGATCAATAATTTTTCTCTGTATTCCCTAGTGGTCTTCCTTCCAATGAACCCCATTTACACTGCTTGCTTTGCATAAAGCTGTTAGGAACATACAGAAGCAAGTGAAACATTTCCGTGCCTTCGTGTCAACTTATTTAGCCTTTACAATGTCTCGGGTTACGAATGTCCAGTCTTTTCCAAAATATTGTTACAAACGGTGATTCGAATTACGAACCAATACGCCCGTTTTATACCAAGAAATCCAAACACAGAATCTTAGGACAAATGTCTACGCAAGAGTTAAACAAATGTTTCACTGTTCTGTTTTATGTATTGTGACTTTACCATAGCTTTTAAGTAAACACATCGTAACTCTGAATTTGGCGCGAAACTGTTGTATCCGGAGCTAATTAGAAAGTATGCACTGGGACTGGGACCACTTGGTACAAGATACTTTCCGGTTACGAAAGCTTTCTTGGAAATAATTAAGTTCGTTTTCCTTGACCCGCTATGTTTTTTTTTCTCTAAAAAATGTCTTTTAAACATGATAATTTTTATTATCAAACACTGCTGAGGTTGTTTTTTTTTTTTAAAAACTTCTTTTAAATTTTAGTACCGATGTCATGCAGGCACAAAAAAAAAGTGTTTTAAAAAGCTGGGTACTGGGATGTGTGTTTCAAGTATAAAAGTTCCCGTTTATAAATAACTGGCCGTGGGCTAGAGAGGAAGTTTCTAGGTACAAACTCCCCTGGCCTGGTGTTTACTACCAACCATTGAGACGGAGTTAACGATCACCAGCTGTTAGCCGCCACTGGAGGTTTCTTTACGTTACAGTTTCATCTTTCTTCCACCTCCACGTTCCCACCACTCTATTCCTGCTACTGCTTGAACTTCACCGCGAGAGGAGAAGAAAAAAATAAAAAACACGCTGTAGATGTCGGTACATTTTGTACTCATGCAACATCTGACCAGATAGTGTCTCTGTGTAGCTACGTTGTTGTTTTGTTAATCTCGACATCGCGTGACACATCTGGTTAATGAGCTTTGTGTGTCAGTGCTATACATTAAACACAGCTTAGTTAACACGTAACAAACTGACCGTTAATGATATCAGCACATCGGGAACAAGACCTGACAAAAACATGTTAACCAGGCCTCTATGCTGGTAACTAGGCCCATATTATTTGTTGTTTCAACCGCTGTGTTATTATAGCTTATCAAAACAAGACACCACCTATTTTTACAGCCATAGACACACACACACGCACTTGTTTTCAGCCTGTAGGGTTTGACGTATTCAGATTTAAACAAGTGTATTTTAAGTAGAATACGTTACAGTACGACAGGGTTGTAAACCGGATTCACTTGACTATTCTACAGTAATCGTCCGTGTTTTATCTGCTTGACGCTTGTTTCTGTGACGTTTGAAGAGCTTGTTGAAAATGTAATGAACTTTGAACTCGGGAACACAAGTTTTTTCCCCTCTACACACAGACTACATAACTACAATTTAAGTGATCTGACGTAACGGTGGTGTCATGTTGTCTTCTCACCACTTAAATGGGAATATGATGACTTAACAGTTTTACAATTTATGTACAAATTTAAGCCTTTTATTTCTGATATAGTAGAACAATACACAACCCCTTACATACGATTATGTTGGGAACCGCGTGTAGGGTTAAAACAAAGAACTTTGTTCCTTCCCCTATTTAGGTGACCTACCTTGATCCCGCGACATAAACATGTTCTCTCTAATGACATTCCCAGCTGTTACACCGCGGCTATTGATCGGTAAAACTCTATTACATCATGTGATAGAACCGTAGCATATTAATTCACGGATGATCCCTGCGTACAGCTGGTGTCGCCACACAGAGATGATTAAAAGATGGCATATAAGTGCACATTTAATTGGAAAAAAAAAATCACAGGCGAGAAAAATATGGATTAAAATAGCAATGCGGTCATTATCCCCTTACATATTAACTGGTTAGTAGTGTTGTGCTAATTACTAATTACTTGAAGTCATTTAAGGCCATCAGAAGATTCGGTCTCTAATTACATCAATCAGACATGCCATTCATTGTATAATCGTCTTAATGGAATGCATCTACCTCTCTATATTATAGTCTGCATTTTTAAAATCGTTTATAAGCCTTTAATTATCAAGCAATTATTCAACTGCTTTGTTTTAATTTACAGCAGATTTCTGTGGGGTTTTTTTTACATGGATCATTGTTTTTTTTTTTAAATCGATGTGGGTGATGTTGGTAGCGGTGAGTAGGGGTGATAAAAATAGCCTTATCCTGGTCACAGATGTGGCTGAAGTGTTGACTGTGGTCGCAAATTGTTGGTGGTTCAGATCGATGGGAGCAAGCAGACCCCGTACATTAGATGGATCGCATGTCTCTAGGCTGGATGGTATCTCAATGGGACCACGGCAAGCATTGATTCGGTACACACGGAGGAAATGAGATTCCGAGCCTCATCGATTTTTCTAACCTCTTTCTTTCCATTTACGGTCCATAAACATTAGTTGCATCCACCCACTCCCCCCCGCCACTCACCGCAGCAATATTTATTTGCCCTTGCAGCGATTACTGTGAAATAAAGGGATCGATTTATTGATCGCCAATTTGGGTTACGTTTACTTAACTTACATGTGATTCACGGCTTATGAGTCATTGACAGACAAGCATCTTAGACAGTGGGATACCAGTTATTAAAAGGCGTTGATTACTGGTATTGGAGTGCATGATACTGGTTGATTTTAATTACAGGAGATTGTATACAAATTATACTAGAACAAAGCCCTACAAAATTATAACCCCCCCTCACCTCATCACACCGCCCCCACCCTATCTACACACACCTCCCATTTAAAGTACTAGGCCTAGTCGACTCACTGTTCGTGGATGTCACAATATTTCACGCCTTTTGTCTCTTCCCCAACCCCTTTTTTTGTTGTTCTTCTCTTTCCTTCCCCTCCCCTTCATTTCACTAACCGCTGTCAACAATCCTACTGAGCAACACATTTGACCTCACGAAGTTCTCTATCCTTTATTTCAGAGCTTGACCTTGACCGACGACACCGTTTTAGAGGAGCACAATGAGGACCCGACCCTCATTCAGATGCACTTGATTGGCGATGGTGGTAAGTATCTGTTTCCTGTTTAACAACGCTCTACCATAATAGACACTCCCATTACTTTATCCCACTATACCTAGTGGTTTTTCTTTCTCCCCCCCCCCCCCCCCCCCCCCCCTCTGACTACTAAACATGTGCATGACTTCAGCGCCGAACTAAGTGGCTAACACAAGTATGTCTAACTCGATTAATTAGCCCCATTGTTACTTTCCCTCACTTACACCAGCCACCAAAATGTGGTAGAATACTACGGAGCGTCTGTTACCGTGAACTGTATTATGTAGTCGAGGAATGCGTGTACCTTACCGAATCTTATTTACGTTTCTGAACATCAACACTTGAACAACATTCCACGGAGCCAAGTCAGTTCAGGAAACTCCGCGGTAAAAGCTGGTGATTTATTGCGGTAACAAGCGCGTAACTAACAGACGGTGAGCTAAAAATAGAAATGGGGTATTTACCATTTCTCAGCCGTGCGACTAATGCATTCTGTTGTTCGTGGTATTTTTTATTTTATTTAAAAAAAAGGACATCCATCAAGTAAAATATTTATGTAGGCATGTAACGCAGGGTTCGTTCGATGAATAAAAATCTTGATAAGAAAGTGAATCATTAACATTTAAACCTTTATTACATCGATTTCCGGATTTCTATAAATAGTTAACCACAACCGAACGAAATACCCCAGTAGCTATAGTTCATGAAGCGTCTCTTGTAATCTGGCCAGTAATGTTATTAGTACCAGTCAGTGCGACATGGCTCTCACCTCCATCAATCACCGGAGAGATAGTCCACCGCCCCCTTTCACCCCCCCCCCCCCTCTCCCCCTCATCCCCCACCGCAAGCTCCCCTGTCTCGAGAGGATTTAGAGTAGTTGGTGTGTGTTGTGTGTTATCGTGTCTCGCACTGTCAGTGATTCGTCAGACTTGGCTAGTTTAGCCGTGCTCTACGTCAGCAGCTCATTCGTTTCACGGACACAAAGCGTGTCCTTCGCTAGTTTTGGTCTGTCTGTAATCTAAGGACAGCCATGTTATTTGTGCCCTAGATTTAAATGTTCACTAGTGTGCAAATCTCTGTGGAGAAAATCCGTTAGTAGGAAACGCAGTTGTGAATAGAGAGGGTAAGATTTTTGTTCTGTTAGTTAGATGAATGTTGATCTAGATCTATATAATAAATCCTTCTAGTTAATTACATGTCATGTAGGACTAATTGCTTGTAATTAGGTCCACTTTCAATGCTTCTGTACGTCTTTATTTTAAGTTAGGCTTACATTATAAAATAAAGAATTATGTTCTTTTGCCGCTGATGGGTTTGTCTTTGAATGTATTTGTGTTGAAAAGATAGTATACGAACAGGTGGCCGGCCGTTCAATCATAATTATTATAATGCCCCAACTTAATACTTGTACTACTAAATGATTTTCGGCTTGTAAATTTGCATTGCAGTATGTAGAATCTTATGGAGAATTTTTACACCGGTGTCCGATAATGGAGTCTTCTTTAAAAAAGGGATGTTAGGTTACTGGTAGTTAACTAAATACACACTTGGCTGGCTAATGTCAATGCTAACCCTGTCCCTAACCCCAACCCTGGTCCTACCATACGCCTAACCCTAATTTCTAACCATAAAATTAGTCGAGATTACAATACTACTAACAACCCAACCCTATTTTATGTAAGTCTATTAGCGGACACCAGTATCTTTAATCATCCATTTTTTTTTTTACTGGCGGCAATATGGTATGTTATAACTGCACACATCTCCCCCAAATAAGATGTAGTTAAAAATTTACATTAAAAATTGATTCCATCAAGTGCTGTATATTTTTCCGAACGTTTTTTTTTTTTAATTTGTCACTTTGCTCCTCACACAGATATCATAAAATCCATTGAAAGCACTTAAACGTAGATTAAATTGATCATAGGCTGACTCACACGTTTTTTATTTCATTGCTACACTTTAAATTTTTAAAACTGTTCACCCAAGTAGGCCTAGTTGAAACCTGATGTTTAAAAAAAGCCCATGTGTGTAAAGTTGACCTTGTGAACTAGAAGGGAAACGTGCTGCACATCACCTGTTGTTGAACCATGATGCATTAGCTGTCCAACTGAGAGATAGGCCTAGATAGGTGAAACGCTTTCAAAACATGGCGAAGGGGGTGGTGGTAGATAGATTTACTTTTTAAAAAAATCTGATAAGCTTAAAATAGACAGCCGTATAAAATTTTATAGTAGCCTTATAGACGACAGGAAATAACAGCCCTTTTTTTGTTTAAACATGCTTGAGAAATCATAAAGTGGTCCTATAGAAATGTATTGGGAATGTTTGCCGTGTTGGTTGGGGAAAGGTAGGGGAAGCGGTTAGGTTCGCTGTGTGGTAGGCCACGTCCCGGAAAGATATTTGCTCGTCTAGCTCCGCGATAATAAAACATTCCGTGTGTACAAGCCGGTGCACCGAACCTCACCTCCCCATCCCATACCCCAATATTAATGCACGTCATCGACAATCCCTTTTGATTTCCCACTCGATTCAACCCCCACACACACACATACACACACGCACCTAATCTTAAACAGTCGTGCTTTAACCGTTGTCCTGTAACTGTAGTTTAGAAAGGCTCTCGCCAGCCAATGTACACAATATTTTTTTTTACCTCTCTCCCGTTCTGCGCCGATCATTGCCTGTACTTGTTCACTGTTTCTCTCGATTGAAGCTTGATTATTGATGCCGTCAATGTTTGCTTCTTTGACGTGCTTGTGTCAAGCTACGTGTACTAGAACTATCGCTCCACTATTTGCTCGTCTTTCGGCAATCGATTGCTCAGAGTGCCGCATAGAAAGGTGAAATGATTATCCCCCATTTATTATCGCCATTCCATGTGCACGTGCTGCCATGAGTTTGGTGTCGCTAACCGATGATGAGCTCAAGGCTGCCTTGTTTCTTTTCTCGCCAGTTGTGGATTCCATTCTTAACGGTGTCGATGTTGGCGTAGCCCAGCGGAGACGTCCGCGTTGTACTGTTACCAAACAAAACAGTAAGGATTCCTCATCGGTGAGTACAATTTTTTTTTTTAAATCATGGTCTTGCTTTTTTAGATGACACTGAGGATTAACAGCTACATTCCATAAAGATCCCGGTGTATGATTAGATAAGGGGAAAAAATCGATACCCTGGTGATTTATATTGTGGTCGGGTCTTAATTATAAGCACGTGTGTCTGAGCCAGGGGAATAAATCTGTTGTTGGCCAGCAATCAAGTTGACCTGTCACACAGTTTTGTCTGGTTAAACAATGAATGTAGGCCAGCCTACACTGATAATTCAAATAATCTGTCACTGCTTGTCTGCTAGGCCTTGATAAACTTTCCCTCGTGTTAGTTGTGCTGTGTACTATTTATAGAACATTTTTAATATTCAATTTTCGTTTTTTTTTAATATAACTATACCCTACTGTTTAAAAATGTGTTGTTTTTCTGGTTTATGTAGTGGTTTAAGTTTTCTATTTGGCAAGTCATGTACTTAAAACGCTAGTCTAGTATGTTACACCCTAAGGCATATTGTGTCGACGTGCGTGAATACAAAAAACAAATTATGAATGAGTCACATCGCATGTGTAGCTCATATATCATAGATTTTTAAAAAACCTGTTTTAGTGCTATTGTTTTCCCCGTCATACAAGAACTTTGATCTAGCAAACCGCCACTTAACGTAGGCTTGTAGACTGGGCTGTACTCGTGGGACATGTGACAGCTTAAGTAGAACACAGCCAAGGCAACATCCGTCAAGCCAGCTGACACTTGAAGCGTTGTCGTTAGACCAAGTTTTGTCACGGGCTACGTTAGGGCCTGCGGCTAGTTCATCCATATTTTTTTTTTATCTGTCTGACCAAAGTTGTCGCAGCATATAGTTGAGTCAATAGGATACGTTTATGCCCTAGGTAATGTTGTGAATTTTAAATCAAATCTTTCTCGTGTGTTAGTAGGTGGGTGGGTTTTTAGTTCCCACTATCAAAGCTTGGTGACCAGGCTAGTTTATACATGGTAATCCGTGAAATGTTAAACAGATTTGGTGTTTAGATATTTTATCTAGGTAATTTTAGCACAACAGATTAGTGGTGACTAAACAACTGTTGATTCGATTAGGCAATTCCTAACTTTAAGGTGAAGTAATCGAATGCCATACATTCGCTTTTTTTTCTCTTCTCATCAACTCCAAGAACTGAAATGTAAAATTGTGCTACCCTTTGAATTCACCTGGGCATTAGATTGGAGACGTAAAAGCCCGGGTTAATGCCGTGTGCATGATAAACTTGAACAAACACAAATTGCTAGCCGGCCTTACCGGTTCACGTGGTCCTGGCTCCATAGTAAATCCTTTCACCGGAATGAGGTCATTCTTCCCGGCAAACGGAGATAAAAGAACCGAGCGAACGGCTGAAGGGAGAAAAAATAGAAGGGGTTGGGGGAGGGCATTGGGAAGGTGAGGTCTTGCTTGAGTTCCAGTTCTGAATAGACGTCTATTCTAATTGCGAACAAAGAACAACCACTATGTTACTGTTCTGCGATTATGGACGTTATCTGCAGGATATTTGTATGAGGAGGTGTTTTTCCCCCCAGACGTAAGTTTGAAAGAGTTATCATCGCTTACTCAATGTTGACATAGTTTGCTGGATTTAGCAGTTTAAATTGATAATTTAGCGCGAAAAAATCACTTGCTGAAGACTGGACATTTTTTTTCTCCCCCCCCCCCCCTCCCCAGCTTCGTTTACTACATTCGGGCTAAGTAGTGTTTTACTAGTGGTACTAGGTAGTTTGATGTGATCTCAGACTCTGTTAAAACAGTTAATACATAAACCTAATGGTTCCACTAAAACAAACCAGTGCTCTAACATATGCTTGTTTACTTGCTCGGAATCCCAGTATCTTCTGGCGAGTATCCAAAACGTAAAGGGTCCTGGAGGTCATTATGCCACTGTAAACTTTATTCCTTCCTAACCTAATCATAGAATAAACAAATGGATCTTTTTTTTATCATAAATCAACCTTTAGTTAAAATTCATTCATGCCTAATGTATAACAGACTAATGTAAATGACTCCAATTAAAAACCAATGCACAATTTCATTCTATCCTGTTCCTCCCCCGAAAGAGACATCAAGTATAATTTCTAAGGTTGTGTGCGTATCTGTTATTTCTACCGCGAGGATCGGGCTTTGAGATATCATATCAATGTTTGTGGTTGCCGGGAATAACAAGTAGATTCAATCGACGTTATCGACAATCTCAAGTTAAGGCCTCTTTGAGCAACACCCGCCCCTCCACTCGCTGCCAACTACAGTGGGGCAGTGTTCAAGAGACAGAAGGATTCTTTGTTCATTTTGGTCGGTTTCCAGACCTGAACACTGGGGCGCTCTGAAAAGCGTGCTAATATAATGTAGCACGGTGGAACAAGATGTATTGATGTTCTCCCAACTGCATGATAAAAGATCCATATCAGGCAGCTTATTGTGTATGTTGCGTTCAATGAGTCATGGACACTTTTGTTGTTGGCTACTTCTTTTTTTTTATTACACCGATCAATAGTTTTCATTTTGTTTTTAGACATGTTGGCGTGGTTTTTCCCATTATCCCAACTTGATGTAATGAATTGGTAGCAGTAATTTGAGATAGCCTAAATTATTATTTCATGCGGGCTAAATATAGAATCCTGCGTGGCTTATGCCAAGAATCTGTGTTCTACCTTGCTTATCACTTTCCCCATGCACTTAGATTCATACACGGTGGGTTAATGGTTTATAGCTTAAATAAACTAAAGCTTCGTTTCTGTCTAAACTCAGACAAAGAAGGGAGGGGAGTGGGTGGTGAAATGTGTGTTTGTGGGGGGGGGGGCACGTTTAAACATGTTAGGAGTCTGCCACAGGAACTGCTGTTGGAGTTAGACATGAACGGCACACAGAAACAATCGCACGTTCACTTTTAAAGCTAAGGTAAAGGATTCTATCTATGAATAATTCACGAGCTGGGTGGGGGTAGCATGTCTAACCAAGCCAACAATTATGCACGTTTTTTTTTGTCTGGCGTAGAGCGGTGGGGGTTTGAATTGATCTATTACGTGATTAAAAACCTTTTAAAAGATAACCATCGATTACATTTTGACCTTTGTTTATTTTTTTAACCAAGTTTTTTTTTCTAAAGCTCTTTCATCACACCCGTGATTAATTAAATAATAGGTATCTGGCACTTTAATCAATAAACAATTAAATGAGTGTGTGCTATCTAATTCTATTTCGTCCCAGTTAACTGACTGGCTTGAAGTGTATTATTTTTCAAAGAGTTGTAAAACCACTGGTGTTTTATCTGCCAGTGTAAATCATGTCAACACCAGTGGTTAAATTACCACCGGTGAATAGGGTACAGTTAGTAGCTGCATAATGTTGCAACTGTTGTTTTACCCATCCCTCTATCCTCCCCGTGAGAGAGTGTGGGTTGGCGGCTGGCCAAGCCACTGACAAGTTTGGATAAGCCTGAAGGATTCATTTCCCAGTGTTTGACATTCCTTATGGAGCAGCCCCACCGGCCCGCCAAACAAGCTTGAAGGTCACATGTGTGGTGGAGAGTTCACCAGACAGTTTCATTGTTTGAGCCGGGGGTCCGCCATGCGCGAGAGATACACCAGCCAGTAGTGGCGATAGCTGCGGCACCGGGGTTGGTGTTTTAGTTTTTTTTTTTTCTTCTTCTTTCTATTCACCCTGTGGAGACACTAGTCAGGTACCGGTTCTCAGGATAAAAACAAAAGTGCATTCATTTTCTCCGTGTTTATCTCGGTGTGTGTGTTTTTTTTTTACACGCTTGTGATTAGTGCGGCTTTGACCTCAGCTAAGCCCAGTCATGTGACGTCTGTTGTTGAGTTCTATTCTGGGAACTTCCTTTGGGACCGGTGCTGTGTTTTAACTGCAGGTTAATTAAATGGTTAATGCGTGCTTTAAACAGGTGTTTTGTAATTAGATATTTATTATCATTTGTAATTAAATGTTAGTTAAAACAAGAGAGTAAATATTTCGACTTAATTAACATGAAAACGTAAGATATAAAAAAAATATCGACATTCTTAATTGCAGTAATCAAAAAAAAGAATAATTGCATGTTTAACTAATTAATTAATTAGATAACGCTGGCCTGTTTCAATAATGTTGATCTTGAATAAATAAATATTAAAAATCGTAGAAAAAAAAACCTTACAATAAAAAAGACAACCTTATGTATCGCAAGAATTAGAAATAAGCGGAAAATACGTTTTTAGTTTGTCCCTTAAGCAGTGTATTATTGCATTTGATTTGTTGGACCTGCGTATACCTTAAATAAACATCTTTCTAGGCTTCATCAATTTTCTTCTCATATCGTTGCCAAAAATACATGTTATTTCTCAGTATATATTTATAGCCATCCGACTAGACTCGCAATACAGATGGCGACTAAAATGTAAATACCGTTGGTTACAAAGGTTATACCAGCGATCATTCTGTAGGAGTAGACCAGCACCCGGTAGTTAAATAAACAAGCATGTTAATCATCCTACGTTGGGAAATGTCAAATGCTGACACAGATATTTGTGACGGGAATATGAATCAAGCTGGAGAAAGCTTCCAACCCCGCTCATCTCGACGTTACTAATGGCCTGTCTTGATGGAAGATCCGATAATTGTTCCTTGGCTAGCATTTTCAGGCCACGTTTTAGGGGAAAGTGGGGGGGGGGGGGGGGGGGTGTTGTGGGCAAGTGTTTTTTTTTAAAGATCCAAGCCGTACTTTAGTAAATTTTCATCTTCTTTAATAAACTCTCAATAGCATGTTCACATAGACTAAGACTGTCTTATTCCAGTAAATGTGTATCCTTATTCGAGCTAGAGAACAGTCATAATAAAATACTTAAAAAAAACTTTTTAAAAAACCACGTTTTTCTTGTGGACTAAAAAGTAGAAAATAACTATTTACATACATTTGATGACAAAAAACGTGGGTACGTTCACCATCAAATTTCCCGACCCATCTGCCCGACCCACGTTTTTTGTCATCAAATGTATGTAAATAGTTATTTTCTACTTTTTAGTCCACAAGAAAAACGTGGTTTTTTAAAAAGTTTTTTTTAAGTATTTTATTTTCTCCTTTTTAGTCCGTTGCTACACATGAAAAACGTGTTTTTTAAAAAAGTTTTTTATATAGTTTATTTTCTACTTTATCTAATGACTTGATTAAGTATGAATTGACTAAGTGTTTATAAATACACGGACTAAAAAAATCTTGAGCGACCAGGATTCGAACCTGGGTTGTCGCGGCCACAACGCGAAGTACTAACCACTATACGATCACGGCCAGCGCGCTCACATCGATTGGGGCCGAAGTAACTGTGTCAACAAGCCTCCAGTCTTGTCGGTATCTTTAGAAATCATGTCCTCAATTTTATGGTCCTTTGGGCGTAATTAAATTAAGCTAATTACGGTCTCTAATTGCTAGTTTTTATGATTGCATCTGAAATTGTTAGGCGAAAGTAACCTGCATGCCAAATTTCAGATCTATAGAGCAATCAGAAGTGGGCTAATTTTCGATGTCAATTTTAACAACAAACACATCCACGCGAAGCTGAGTTAATAAAAACGTGTTAAAAAGAGAAATGGGTCAATTGTATAGATAAGGATGTCAGTATTGGCTGTCTGCTTTCATCGTGATGATAGTGCGTTGCCCTTTATCGCCTTGTTTATCGGCGAAATGTTGTATCAGTTAGTTCACTAGCTATGTTCATAATTAGGTTTTCAGTCGGGCAAATTTAGCGTGACTGCGCTGCCATAGAACGTGGCGTGTTCGGTGTTTTAAGTGACCGCATGCCTTTTTTAAGAAGTAAGGTCGCAGTAATATAGAGCGTGTTACTACGGGGAGTTGTATACACACAAGAGTTAGCGTTCTTTGTAGTGTCGCAGTTGTTGGCTTGATTAAAATTTTGACTGGTTTCATCAGGAATATTCTGTTGTCAAGTACATCTAGTGGCCATTGTGGTGTTAGTCTTCTATTTCAGGTGTACATTGTGGTATTACTTGAATTTATAGTGTGTACAGTGTCTGATTTTAGTTAAAGGTGTACCGAGAATTGTTGTACTTAGGTAATAGGTGTAGGCCTACCGTTTTTTTTTTAATGTAATTAATAGTTGGGCAGTTGGTGTCGTTCTACTTTATTAAATAATTCGACAGTAGACCTATTTGTGTTGGTATATTTAAAAAATTCCTACTTCAATAAAAGTTTATTAATGTTTTCAACGTCATTTAATAGTTCGCGACAATAGACCTATTTGTGTTTGTATAATTTGTTTTCTACTTCAATAAAAAGCTTATTGGTGTGTTTTCAACTTCATTGTGTACTGTGTTACTGTCTCTCTACTTTAGTTATTTGTAAAATATGTACATGAGTGTTGCTCTACTTCAATAGTAAGACGTGTACAGTGTTGTTTGCTTCAGTTAATACATGTGTACACTTTTGTGCTGTTCTACTTCAGTTAGTAGATGTGTACAATGTCTGTGGTGTTTTACTTCAGTTAATAGATATGTAGAAATGTACAATATCTGTGCTGTATTACTTCAGCTTATAACGACCAGCCGAGGAGCGGTCAGCACACACACAGGAGCCGTGCCCACGAGTCAAGCCAAGTATTCCAGTAACAGCAGCAACCCCGTGATTGCAGCCCCAAACGTTGGCGCTAGAAGTAGTGGCACGAAGTCACGAGTTACAGAGTTGGCAGCATCAAGTGCCACGGTGACACACAACCTTGAGGCTGGGGTTAAAGGTAAGCTCTCTTTTATCCGTTACATACTTTGGTATACTGATACTGTTCAGGTGTTAACTTTCCCATCAGCTGAGAGTAGTACAAGTGGTATAAATAGTTAGATGAAGGCATTTAAAATAAATTAGCTTAAAACTTCTTTTCTTTGTGCTTTCTAAAAACAGTGTTTACCTGTATTTGTGTAGTGCGGTTTTCTTTTTAAAATAATATATAGTCTTCAATAAAGTTGTATTCGTTTATTTACTTCACTGTTTATTTATACCTGATCAACAAGTTAAGTTGTAAAATGGATTTGTGTCGAAGTGAATGGCGGCCATGTGGTGTAACTAGGCACTACTAAAGCCCCCTGCCATATGGTAGTTTTTTGTTATCACTACAGTCTGCTAGTTTTCCTCCAGCCTGCTTTATCTGAAAACATGACGTCAGAGTGAACAAAGCCTGCCATTAACTCCCCTGCACTACACTCCCGTGGCTGGCAAAGTTCTCTCTGTCTGTCTGGCGACTTACTCAAATAAAACAATTAGTGTGGGCTAGCTGAATTAAACGTTGAATAAATACATCCGCGTTGTCCATATGGATCTATCTACATGTCTGTCTGTGTGTGGTTTTATTAATAGATGGCTGTCTGTGTGACATAACAGGATATGGAATATGAATCACTTTCCTATTTTAGGAATCAAGTAAACATGTGTAGTTTAGTTCTGTGTGAACTAATTTAAAAAACAGCCCCATATATGTATTTTAAAATGGTAATTTAACAGATCATGTGTGATATCAGGGCATACTGTAGCTAACACGCAGTAGGGGGTAGGCCCCTAGCTGGTGTTCTCAGTTGGTCGAATAAAGTAAATGTTTTACCTTATTCTCCCCTTCCCCCTCTACTCCGTGTACCGACACGTCCTGTCAACTGTAATCTAAACTTGACCCTACATAATCCTATCTACAGGGTCAAACCCCGCGTGAACTTTGGTCCTATAAAAGATCTCATTGGCTGTGTTAGTCATGTGTCTCTCTGTTTAAATGAAGTGTGTAATCGCTTTTTACACTTAACCCATATACCAAGGGTTGTTTTTTTTTTCCTGTTTGGAAGAACTTCAAATCTTCAGTTTGTTATTTCTCTATCCATTATTTTTAAAAATTCTTATCAATCCATCTTTTTTTGTTTCTTTTTTTTTTTGTAACCCCGCACCTTTCAAACGTGTTTGCGTGCTAAAAAGAGACCTGTCCTTTATCAATTTAACACCCTTGGAAGGTGACCCCTCCTTTGTGCCCGGAGAACTTGACATTGGGGCAGGGATGGGGAGAAGGAGTGGGTTAGTTATGGTGGAAACAGATCAATAACACCGGTTCGTAAAGAATGGCAGAACTACGGCAAAATCAATACACGCGTTTTCCTTTGGGGATACAGTGACTCGTCATGAGGCGAACACTGTGCTAATGGAGTGAACAGTAATGGCTAGGGGGAGGATAGGAGGGGGGGGGGGTCATAACTGAAAGGTCTTTTTTTTTATTATTTAAAAAAAAAAGTCAACATTAGAAACAGTTTCTTTCATTGTATTTTTAATGGGAATTTTTTTTAATGAGTGCATCAGACATGGTAGAAAAAAAGCGTTAGATCCAGATAACATCGGTCAATTTTATCTAGACAAGCTCGTAGCTCTTAGTAACACAATTATTCTTATATATTTAACACTGTACTTTAATGTTTTTTGTTAGATAATAAAAACAAGCGTAAAAAAAAAAACTAGACAAACACCCGGTGTGAATTTGATCATGTCAACAAACGAGGCAATGACATTAGAGACCTTCCTGAATGTTCATTATCCTAGAGTAGGAGACGGGGGAGAAAAAAAAAAGCTGATGCCGTATTTTTTTTTACTGGCGATATTGCGTTAACCGAGATGAAAGGGAGAGAAAAAAACATTCAAAGACCGATGTAGTGTCGCGTTATCTTTAATATAGGAAATGTGGCTGGCTGGCGAACCAGGGATCGATTATGTTGATGTAATAGGTTATATTTAGATGGACCTCACGTATATGTGGGCTCCAAGCGAAAATATTAGATTGCTTTTCTTGACTCTGATGGCGGTGTATAACAACCCACACAGATTTGGCAGTCGACATCCAAATGTATAACTCACTGTTGAAATAAAAATGAGCCTCTCCTCTACATACATACACCAGATTGCCATTAGTGAAGCTTGTTTTTGTTTTTTTTATCGTCTGACCTATTTTTTGTTTTGCCAAAAATACAAATGTAATTAAAGCCCACATTTCAATCAGTTAATAGCCATCAGCATCAGCCTATGCATCCGTTGTTTAAAGTCTGGTTAGATGAGTTGTTTTAACTAGAGAAGTTGGCATTTCCCAGCACAGCTATTGATTGTTGGCACCCGCTCAGTGGGCCTCTAGACAGTACTTGAAAACCTGACTGTTTCACCGCCTCACACTCCTGGCACAGTTCACCATTACGTGGTTCCCACAACATGATCCATCCCCTCGTGAGATGCTGAAAAGTAAATCTGATGGGACACGCTCGTATTCCTTGTCTGTGGTGACTGGTAACTAGATTAGAAGACCAGTAGAGAAATTCCGCTGAAAATAAAGCAGAGAGGGTATAGAAACTGGGATTCGAGCCAGGAGGAGATGGGAGGAAGGGGGGGGGGGGGGGGAAGATAAAACTGCTGGAGAGAGTTGCAGGTGTGGAAGCATAAAGTGTGTGTGTGTTTCTGTGTGGGTGTAAGTGTAGTTTATTTTAGAAAACCTTCAGTTTTGCTATCTAAAAAATAGTTCAACCACTGATTTTTTTTCAGCTGAAAATTTTATTTAGTGGCTTTAGCTTTAAGTTTTTTTTAAAATCTAGGTAAGATTTCATCAGTTTCTTTTGTTTGTTGTATTTGCATATATGGAAAAGACTACTATTATCATCATTTTTTTTTGTCTTTTTAAATTAGGCCAAAATCAGTCAAAGAATTCCAAACAAACACCTAAAAGGAAATCAGATCCTCCATTAAAGGCAGCAAAGAAAGCAACAGGGGGTAAGAAGATAAAGAAATCCAGCAGTGATGAGAACCTAGAGAGTGGTTCTTCAGTGTGTAAACAGACTTGTAATGTACTTGTGAAACGTATAGAAGAGGACAACAAAAAGCAGACTCCAACCAAGGAAAAAACCAAGTCTCCAAGGTTGAGAGACAAGCACACGCCAAACAAGAAATGTCCACATTCTGAGGGGGCTGATATAAGCGCAGTACCTGTTGAGCTCTCACCTGCCTTAGTAGTGAGTAATTCCCAGGGTCAGGAGGTGTTCCCTGATGCAAGTGGTGATTTCAAAGGTGAATGTGTTGTGAAGGAAGTCAGACCTAAAGATCAACATATCACAGAGGCAGCAAATGTATCATCTGTTTCTACTTTGTCTGCTCAAGGAAGTTCTGATGTAATACATATAGCATCGAAAGATGCACAGAAAAACAGTATTGTTCCATCAAGTGATAAATGTGCAACGAGCTCATCGTCAGTAGTAAGCTGTTGTGTCAGTAATGACGTTGTTGGTTGTAACTCAGTCACATTAGCACCCAGAAAGCTGAATGACCAAGACCTTCTCTCTGGCAGCAAAACACTTCACAATGACAATGTTGGTCTGTCTGAGGTGAAGACCAGATTAAAGACTGCAAATGAACAGTCCACAAGGAACTGCCTGGTAGCAGCGGAGACAGCTAAAAGCATCGCAGGGATAAAAGCTACTGGCACGGAGAGAACTGAGCCCAATTCTGAAGAGGACATGCACTACAAGAAACAAATGCTAAGAGCTGGAGGCAATATCAGCTCACATAACAGCAGTCAGTTACCTTCCATTACTGAGGGTATTGATGTCAATCGTTCACTCACTGACCAGCTTTCCAGGAGGAATAAAGCCAATGACAAGTATTCTCTGAATGGGGATGGTAAGGTGGGGCTAGAAGCTGTGGCATCTGCAGAGATTTTATCACCGTCTAGTTCCTTATCTTCGCATCACCTCTCAGACAGGGAGAGGTCAGAGACAAATTTGATAAAACCCCACGAGTTTCTAGGCGACAGACACAGTGCATTTACATACGTTCAGTCCAGAAGTAACACAACAACCCCAGCAACAGAAGACAGATCTGATTCTAGGGCTAGTGATGGCCAGCTTACAGCTCACATGTCTGACGATAAGAGACCAGGGTCTAGGCTGGACGATGTCCGCAGTGTGAGGAGCAGCCCAGGTTCCAGTCCGCTGGTCGTAGACAGGCACGAGGCTGTCCACGTGTACAGAGACCCAGAGTTAATGCGAAAAAATCCAGTGCAGAGCAACGTTCAGAACATTATAGCTGCTCAGCAACAAAAAATGAGCCAGCCGTTTCCTTCGGTGCATGCGCCGCTCCCCGGCGCATCAGCACCATCACAATCTGCAGCTGCAGCAGCGTTTGTCCCGCAGCTGTCCTCGCGGAGTTTGCTGGGTGTCCTGCCTTACAACACTGCACACCAGCTGACTTCATCCCTCTCGCACCATCTCAGCCTCCCCCATAACTACCCAATGGACGCTATGGTCAGGGCCCAGCAACAGCAGATAGCTGTGATGCAGCAGCAACAGCTGATGAACTACCCACCTGGCCCTTCACTGGCCACACTGGAAGCAGTGCTCAGGGGAAAGTATCCTTCCACGCCCCTAGCCACACAGTGGATGCACCCGAAATCTCAAGACAGTTTATTAACTGGGGATATAGCAGCACTCCACAGAGAGCACATACACCATATGGAAATGGAAAGAATTGAGAGAGAACGTATGGAGCAGGACAGAAGGGAAAAAGAACGAAAAGAACAAATGGAAAGGTAAGAACTGTAAAAATTATTACATTTTTTAAATAAATGTTCATTAACTTTTTTTTTGTTCTTATAATCCTTAAAAATATTGAGTCATTGAATAAGACGTGTGTGTAAAACATTTGACAATAATTGTAAATGGTGCACTCTTTGTATACAATTAACATTCATAAAATTTGCGTTTTTTTTTTAACACGAGCGCTTTCGCTTCATTGAATATGCAACCACATACATTTTTTTTTAACTGGATGTAGTGAGAAAATCAATAACCGCCAGACGGTCTCGTAATATTTATTGGCCGCATCAAGTTATTATTTTTTTTAAACTGTCCTATCTTCATCATGGGTTCACTGAGTTGATCGTTACACGCATCTGAAGGAAAGGAGAGGTTGCGCTGCAGGTCGTGTTATTGATTTTATAACGACCTCTCACTCCAGCGCACACATACACACACTGATTCATCCTTGGCAATATTTAAATATGATGCTGCTTTCGGTGTTTCAATACGAAGTTGTAACCAAGACACACATGAGTGGCGAGGCGGGGATTGCGTCAACTCTTTGAGTGTGTTGACCCGAGAGCTAGAGGGCGTCGGCGTGGCCGTGCTCTACGTGAAAGCGTGTGTTGAATGTGTTCTGAATACAGTGGCGATAGCAAAAGTAGGTCAGCAGCCATATTGGATTTTACATTTTATCAACCTGGCAAGGTTGCTTATGACTCGCCTAGCCTAGTGATGAATATCGTTAAGGTTTGGTGCGTTGTGCTTGTTTAGGTCATTGCGCCTTTTATTCTTACACGGTACTGGAAGGACTGCTAAAAAGGTAAGAGAATGAGAAGTATCTTGTGGGAATAAGATACATTATAGTAGATAAACTAGATTAGATCTAGAATCTAGTTCAGTACTGGCAAGTGGAAGTCGCTGACATTCCATTTCATTTTTAAAATAATAATTGACTTCATTTTTAAAATAATAATTGACTTAGTCTTAGTTTTAATGTTTTTTAAATCTAAATAGTAATTAGCATATTCTTAGTATTAACATAGGCCCAGATCTACTAAATATGCCTAATTGAATTTTTAAACATGGATACTTTGGATGAATATGGATCTAGGTTCTAGGGGCTAGGCCCTAATTACAGGACTATTTCACATGAACTTATTGAAATTTAATGGTTCTGCTATTACTAAACACATAGATTCTAGAGTAAATACTTTATAGGTTCCAAAAATCGTTTACCACAGTATTTGGTTTTAAATTGGATGGTGCTAGATCTAGATCTGCGCTCTTAAAAGACGCATGTAGCAATTCATAATATATTATAGTTAGGGGCCTATAGCTTAGGCCTATAGCACATTCCTTAAATTGGGCGTAGCTGCTGTATCATGTGGGGTGAGCGCCAGCAATCATTGATATTTATAAAACGAGACATGTTTATCTTTGAACTGGAGTCATGTTACAAAGATGAAACACTTTGATACATCAGTGAAATGCGTGACCAATGCTGTAAAATAGGCCATGTGTGCTTAGTAGACTAGACAGATGTTACAAATGTGCGATAATGATGCTATGTTTATTTAGAATGTTAATGCGTAGGCTATTTCAAAGAACAGACACTGCCAGGCAACTTTACTATATGGTGTAACAGCTTGATTTAAATTCAGGTTTGTGTGTAACTGTTTACGGGAAAATTTGAAACATAATTTATTCGGTAAGCCCACTTGTTATTCACTCGAGTGTGTTTCTAATAATAGCACTGTGCTGTACGTGTTGGTTTGCACGATTCAAAGGTTGCTACTTCGGTCCCATTTTCCACTTCAGGTAGTATCAGACTCCATTTAAATTTTTAAACAACGCATTTTGCTGTTTAAAAAAAAAACGAGGGGCGCAGCACACCTGCGCTAGGCATCCGCACCCACACAATAAAACATTGGCCGACACGCCAGGTCAATAGCGCTGTTGCATGTGTGAAACGTCTTCTGACGTTTGTCCTGGCTTACGAAACGCGATAGCACACTTCACCTCAGCAGTTATAAACGCCAAGTGTCAAGGTTATCGCGCGCTACCGTTTAGACCAGGGGTCTCCAAACTACGGCCCGCGGGCCGGATGCGGCCCGCGAGGTCCTCTCATCCGGCCCGCGGAGTTTTTTTTCCACGGAAAAAAAACGTTTGTTGGTGCTGGCTGAGGAACTTTGCCCAGAAAAATCAAAGACATGTCTGGAAGAAACTGGCCCCCGAACTGGAAATTGATAGTTAATGCGGCCCTCGGACTGAAAAGTTTGGAGACCCCTGGTTTAGACAAAGCGCCGTGTACGTGGTATGCACGCATTTTTTTTCCTGACCTGGGCATAGTTAAGGCTGCATTGGCTGGCTTTTGTCTGGTGTTTTATTTTATTTTAGATATTCACTATAAATCTATGGAATCTGTTCTTTTTTTTTTAAATATTTAGAATTAAAACGTTATTTAAGCATAAATCTTCAAGTGCTGAAATAGAAAATAAAACAACATACGCCTATAGGCCTAAACAAGTTTGTCAACAAAGAGAACAAAAACCACACTAAAGCCCAACATGTTCGTGGTCGTAATGTCAAACTAGTTGCCGTGTTTCTAAATCTTGTTTGTATATCTTCTTAAACTTTAAACAGACTAAAAGAAACTGATGACTTGAATTCAGCTTTTTTTTTTTTACACTTACACATATATTTTTTTTTCATAAAAATATCAACCAAAGCACAGAATGGTCTCTTAAGAAATGTTATTGAATGTTGCAGGGAAAGAATTGAGAAAGAAAAAATAGAGCGAGAAAAAGCCGAGAGGGAAAGAGAACGTCTCGAGAAAGAGCGAATAGACAAAGAGAGAATAGAACGGGAACGCCAGGAGTGGGAGCACAAACAAAACCAGGACCGTATACTACGGGAGAGTGTGGATACCGTCGCTGCTGTGGACCAGCATTTTGCTGAGTCACTCACGCGGCTCGCCTCTCAACAGGTTGGTTATCTTTTTCAATTGTCTACACTCAGCTGTTGTCGCAAGGCGTTTCATTAAAACTGACAGTTCGTGGCCCTTTTGTGCTTTATGATGTTTTGGGAAAATGTGCCGCCACGATTGTCAGTTGATTGTAGCAATTTGAGTTAAATGGGTTTTTTTTTCTTTTCTTTGGTCAACATGACAGTTCGTGTCCTTTATCTTATATCCCTGCTTATCTTATTATTTGTACCCTTGTACCACATAACGTTTTGATAACCATCTGTTAAGTTTGATTAGAACAGTCGAGGTGTTTAATTAATAATGGTGAATTTCTCTTCCTTCCCACCACCACCACCATCACGAAGTAACTTCTGGTTATCTCTCTAGGGGGAATTCAATATAACAGCTCAAATTGTATTAGTCACTCTGTGCATTCTTCTAACCCTGTTTAATTAAACGAACTCCACACCGGTCGTGCCACTACCACACAGTTGATCCTTTGACCCAGTCCAACCAGTGAATATAACGGTCTTTGTACGTTTGTACCGCCGGGCTGCCAATTCAAGCTGCCTTCTTCGCCCCCACCGCTCCCCCCACCTCTTTTATCAAACAAGGTTTTTATTATCTCGAGCGTATTTTACTTGGCTTCAACATTTTTGTGCACCTGTAGCGTGCTGGCTCTTTACTATTCACTGATGTGTAAGCTGCTATGAATAGATTCGGGGATTGTTGGCAGATAAGCGGGATAGTATTTCGTGTCGGGGGCCGTCTCCTAGTACGTTTTTTTTTTTAGCATGTGTAGCTAGGCTAATTGAAGCAACCAGTCACGCGCGCTGAACCAGTATGGTTCGGTCTATTATCCATCAGCTCTGTCGCGTATATTATTTCGTGTTGGTATCGATTTTTAAAAAACTAAAATAGAACACAATCTGGTGTTTGTAATATTAAAAAGTCAATAAGGGTTACATTTGTCCCTGCGTCATAATTTATCACCAGTTGTCAAAACAAATATCTCAAATTGACATTTTGTTTGCAGTAATTTGTCTATCGTTATTCGCAATTGCCTTTCTATTTTTATGGTTTGTAATATGAGATAAAATAGAACGTTTTTACTCCTTTATTTTTCTTGTGTTGAGTTTTCTCTTTAAAGTATTATTTCCACTGACAAGCTTTTCAAATATTGATAGCTAAAATTGCTGTTATTTTTCTAAAATATCTTATTGAATTTATTTGTAAGCTTGCAGTTAATAACATGGAATGCAAGTTGGAGGCATTGCTTTGTGTCAATAGTTATAATTTTTTTTATTTTTACATTTATCTATTACAATTCTTTTAATAAAAATAAACTAGAATTTCACCAACCTTTGCCCACAAAGAATTTTGGTTTCCTAACATTTTGTGATCTTTTGCCTACAGGGAATCATGTTTCCTTCTATAACTCGAGGTACAGGCAGGGGCTTTATGCCAAAAACGGAAGCTCACCATCCAGTTCAACATAACATGCCATATCATGATAAGCAGTTTGAGCACAGAAAAGAGGAAAAAGTCAAAAGGGTATGTGAGAACTCAGATTTCTTTTCTGATTGCACTTGGTTGTGGGGCATTGTTTTTTTTTAAATAATGGGTACATGTTTTTAAAATGCTGACTACATGGTATTTTTTTTTTTACTTAAAAAAAATGTGTTTAACCTTTTCAGGAACCTGAATCAATTTCTGATGACAAGCGTTATCTAAACAAGCCTGAAAAAAACCCAGTGTTTCCTGGTTATGCTTATAATACCAGTGGCTACCCTCAGTCTACCCAGAAACCTGTCTTTAGCCTCTACGGTTATCCTTCTTCCCAGTCAACCACAATCACAACAGAGCAGCTCAAACAAAGAGGTCTTATCCCAGAGCCCAGGCAAATAGAAGATGAAGACAAGAAACCCCTCTATTCATCTTTGCCACCTCATGCTGCCAACACACTACACCCAAATCAAGCTTACAACCCTAAAGACATTAAGAGAGAGCCTCACAGCTCTGTCATAGTGAAGAGAGACGTGAAGCCTGTTGTAAAGATGGAGAACCCAATACAAGCCCACTCTCATCACAACTCTCCCTCATCCTCGTCTCCTCGTCCACAGCACCCCAGACCAGCACACACTCCAGAACATCGTCCAGATCGTCCCCAGTCCTCGTCAACTAGTCCTGCCACCGGAGTCCATCCTCATCTTCTGCACCATTCCAGCCCTGTTCCCAGTGGCCCAACTCATACACAGCCACCACCACACAGCTCCGGTTTTCGCTCTCTTGACCCGCACTCATCTCCGAGATCTCAGAGCCCATACAAGCCAACGACTAGTCAGCCACAGGCAATGCCCCAGCCTTTGAACTTTTGTAAGTCTCCCAGTGCTAATAAAAAACCACTGGAGCAGCAGCCACAGCAGATGCATCCTGGTTACCCAGCTTCAGTGGCTCAAGCACCTGTCTCATTGCCTAGTTCCATAGCTTACAGCTACAGCCTCATTCAGCAAGGACTGGTACCCAACCCTATCTACAGCCAGGTTGGGGGTCCACACCCTTCAGGCCCACCTCCCATACAGCACAATTCCAGCCCTCTAGCTCCTAATACAATACCAGCCCCCAAAACATCACAGCTGAGCCCTTCAGGGAATAAGAGGAAAAGTGGTGGGAAAGATGGTAACACATCAAGTAGAAAGAAGCCAAAAGGACACCCTGAAATGGCTGGAGTGAGTCAGCCCATGTCCATTCCTGTCACCACCCCACAGATACTAACCAACCCATCACCATACACCACCTCCAGCAGCAGTACATGTTTCACCAAGCCTGTTCTCACTTCATCTCTCAGCGGCCATTCATCTTACATTGACAGCTTCAAATCCTTTGTGGACAATACTGTCCAATCTGCATTCCTTCAAGAAGAAAAGAAAGCACAGGAAAAGGCTGAAAGGGAAAGACAGCAAGCAGCTGCTTTAGTTTCCACTCAGTGTAACAAAGTTGAACCTAGTCTTCAAGAAAGAAAACCAGACTCTCACATACAAACTTTGCCTAATAATACACCTGAAGCAACAGCCTCAGCTACTAGGCAAGACAACACACCTTCCAATGTTTCTGACTCTTATAATAGCCGTATTATGGATACTATAAACAGGGTGGCGAACAATCAAGTGGACACAGATTCTGATACACTTAGTGCCTCCAGCCCACCCCCACAGATAAAACCTTCTGATACCAACAGCCCACTGAATAAAAGCGGAAACAATTCTGGCTCCAGCCATCCACATCATATGAAAAAGGCATGGCTTCAGCGCCATGACGAGGACAAAAAATCCGAGACGCCTGTGCCTGTGCAGGCTGAAGAAGATTCATCAAACTCCAATCACACCAGGGATATCATCAGTTGTGTTGAAAATTCACCAGAAGGTAGTCTTGAAAATAGAAGTGCATCGCCTGCTAATGTTGTTGTGACTTTGCCTAATGGCAATGTTAGTGATCTCAACCATCATATTGATGAATCTACCTCATCTGCTTCAGAGTCTGAAATGCAGGTAGGAATAGTTCATTTTAAACTCCCTTACTTCTAAAAATATTAATTATATGCTTTCAAAATATTGTAATCAAAATGGTTTGGTCAGATTGTAAGTTCAAATAATAGTTGTAGATCTTTTCATTTTTGTCAATCTCTAAGTCATAAATGCTTCATAAATTTAAATGTATAAAGTAGTGTGGTGGAATGTTTATTGTTAGTAGAATACTAAAATAGTGTAGTCCCTTAATCAATTGTATATCTGTAATTTATCCAGAATTCATCTAAATCATTTGGGGCAAAGAAGAGAGTAAAGCCTCGAAAATCTGGTGGATCCGTTAAGAAAAGTAAAGGAGATTCAGACAAAGAATCATCTGCCTCAACTCCACCTCCAAACGCTTCCAATAACAACAATAATAATAATAATCAGCGCAAAAAGAATAGCACAAACAAACGGGGCAAACCAGATAAGGACATCAAGATTAAGGTGACTTAAGAAATTCCCATTTTCTCTAAATACTAGTCATTCACTTAACCATGTTTATTATAAAAAGTTTTCATTCCCTTTTCTGCTAAAGAGTAAACCTTGTAGTAAAATGTGTGTACACTGTTAGATTAAAACGCGTATACCAATTCAATCAACAAATTAAAGTAAAACATTTTTAATTAAATACTGTAATTATGTAAGACCTGTTTTTTAGTGTTAGCTTGTGCTCAAAAGATACTTGTCCTGAACTGAATGATTAATATAATGACAGCTTGTCATAAGATTAATATAATGACAGCTTGTCATAAGCTTCAACCGTATGTTGTAAACAGCACTTATGTAGGTCATGCACCTGCTATTGCTAAATAAACCAGTTCTTTTTTTAAATTCTAAAAAATAGAAGTTTAAAACAGTTGTTAAAATTTTACTGAGCCTATAATATTGTCAGCAAAATTTGCATATATTTTGAAATGCTTTCTAATAACTAATTTTCTTTTCAATTTAACTTACCATAGGATGATGGCCAGTCTGTTAAAAAGGAAGATTCAACTTTCAATTCATCCAAGCAATCTCGTGATAATAGTCCCTTGCCGTCCAAACTCCTGGAGAAGGTTCCTACAGTCCCAACAGCAGTATCTTCACCTTCCCCACATTCCGAGCATTCAAACCCATCTCCAGCATTTTCAGAGAGTAACACTGCCAACATGTCACCAGCATCTTCAACATCTTCCTGTAGCAGCAGCACAACAGCCACAACTACAATATCTAAACTCAACTCAAATAAAAACATCAACAAAATCAACAAGGATGCCAAGAAAACCAGGAGGAGTAAAGAGGCTTCATCAAAAGATAGTAAGAAAAGTAAGAATAGTTAAGATTGTAATAGAGAGATGGTGACAAGACAAGGAATTTTGGTTTTAAGTAGGTTTTTTTTTTTTTAAAAACAGATTTATATTTATTTTTGATGAATTTCAGGTTCTTCTTTCAATAAACCATTGGTAAAGATGACCGTTGCTACCTTGAAGAAAACCATGTCACCTTTCATACAAGATGGCCCTTGCAGTGAAATCACTCCTAAACTGACCAAGTGTAGAGAATGTAAAATGACCCCGGTTCAAAGAAGTAAAAAACAGCCCAATATTTTCTGCAGATTTTATGCTTTTAGAAGGTAACACATTTTTGTTTATATTTCATTTTGATATTTTAAAATGTTGTTTATATAACATTTTAAATATTTTAAAATTACTTTTCTTAAGTAATTTACTAATTGTTTTGTTTCTGTAGACTGAAGTACAATCCACGTGGTTTTGTCACAATTCATGGATTTTCTGAACTCTCTGATGCAGACCCAGATGATATTGAGCCTTGGCTCCCACGCTTTCCAAGTAATTACAACAAATTTTCTTTTGCATGACATAAATAGTTATTTATTTCATTGAAGTGCTGCTTTTAAAAAAAAAAAAACTAAATACCAGACAACAGAGAAGGCAGTTAAATAGTTGGCAAGAAACCAAATGAAAGTTGAGCGTGCACATTTTTTTTGGTAACATTCTGTATAACAGAACCAAGAGCAAAATTGTTTCTTCTCACCGTTGCATCAGCCAAAAGCCTTGCCAAGAATGCTTCTGTGATGGTTTTAATAAATTCTTATACAAAATGTTTTAAAAATTTCAAATATGGGTCAAATTTATTTTATGATTTAACTAATTTGCAAAAAAAAATTTTTAATGAAAATGTAAAAGGTGAGCATATTACTATCAGGATCATTACTTGATAGGCATGTGTAGCCTCTGGTTTATCAAGCCACTTATGTTGTAATAAATAGTTTTTTCAGGCTTAAAGGCATAAGTTAATTTAACAGAGACACTGCTAGACTTGCATAGATATATGGTGCAAGTTTTTGTTCAGTTGTTTTTTGTTGTATAGGTGTTTAAATTAAGCATAACAATTTTTTAATTATATATCAGTTGAAGAGCCTGAGCTTGATGTTGAAAACTCCAAGTTTATTATTTCCAAAGTGGGGGATAAATTTTGTGAGTTGGTTGAGCAAGAAAGGGAAGCAAAGTCCTGGGCTGGTGACAATGGTATGTGCTTTAAATTAACTTTTTAAAGCTTTATATGCAATTACACAAACATTGCAACTTAAAGATAAATAAAATTTTACTTTTAACCTTGCAGTGAAGATAGTTTGGAAAAGAGCTGTGATGGGTGTGCGAGAAATGTGTGACGTTTGTGACACTACACTATTTAACATGCACTGGGTTTGTCACAAATGTGGATTTGTAGTTTGCCTGGATTGCTACAAAGTCCGTATTAAGGAAGGAAAAAGTAAGTTTGTTTAAAAAGCTGTTTAGGTCGGCTTAATATTCCAAGATTACTTAATCAATGAATGTATCTTAAATATTGTTTTGTTTATTCTAGAAATCCTAGCTGAAGATAAATGGCTGACTTGTAGTTCCAATAGACAAGCCCATAAAGCTAGTGAGATGATGCTCACACAAATCATACCAAGTGATGGTGAGTTTTCCAGAAATCAACTTTTTAATAGAGAATTAGCGAGGGGTTTTTTAGCGCAATTTCCACACTGACAATTGCGATTATTAACTCGTTATTTCTGGATGGATGTGTGTCCGCAGCTTTAAGTCGTATCTCCTCCTCAACGAAGCAATATCGAGGACTAGTTCCAAAAGCAAATATGTTAAGCAAGCTCCGAGGATGATTGTGGGCCAAAAAAATTCCCGGAATTCCTTCTTGGATTTCCCGGAAAAGCCAAAAAACCTCGAAAAAATGCAGTTTTTGCCCCATATCTCAGCAACCAGACCACTTAGCGACTTGAAACATTTACCAATAGATTCCTGCCATAATTTAGAACAATATTGCCGAAGAAAGTTTTCAAAAATATCCCTTTGTTCGGTCACAAAAAATTAATTATGGAAATTGCGCTTAAATTGTCACTAGACTTTTTATTAACTTGTTTTGTCTTTTTTTTTTTTTAATTTAAATAAAATGTAACTTATTTACATTATTGTTAACAGCTCTATGGGAACTAGGTAGATTGATACATGATATTCGCACAAAATGGTCCATCCCGTCAAATTGTCCTTGTGGTGGTAACAACTCTGAGAACAAATTGGTACCCAAAAATGGAATTAATCAGGTATGATTCTTCACCTATGTATATTTTTATATTAAAAAGTTATTAAATTTTGTCTTAATGCTGTTGTAGATATTTAGTAGAAGAAAATATCTCAGATTAAAATTGTTTTCTTCAGCAACTTTTGAATGCAGTCAACACGAGGAAACTCCCAAATGGCTTTGGTTCTGAAGAGCATAGCAATAAGCACAACAAAAGCAAGAAAAACCAAGATGCGAACCCACTCAAGACTTTGGACAGTTATAACCCTGATACAACTTCCTCACCCCTCAGCATATTAGCTGAAGTTGCTTCTATGGAACCAGACACCAACAGAGATAAAGACCCTAAGCGCAAGCTGGAGAAAACAGTTCCTGGTGATGAACTTGCTGAAGATGCTGAGAAAAAATCTGGGTGCTCTACTCTTCGTGAATTGCTTACCAAAACTGCTGGCAAGGTAAGATAATTATCAAAGTAGAAGGATCTTGTGATTTTAATATTTTAAAGGACCTTTTTATTTTATGGCACATGTATATAATTTTTTTAATGTTTGTAATTCAGCCCAAAGTAGCAAATGACAAAAAAGTGAAGAAGGGAAGTGGACTCAGCACATTGGACGATATCATTCAGTCAGTTGTAGAGAAAAGCTGTACAGATGGTGGTGCCCCCTTCAAATTTCTACATTACACACCTCGACTTGGTGGCTGGAAGAGGGAAATACCTATTATGGTTCACAACATAATGGAGACCAGTGTGTTGTACCCAGATGTTCCTCATTCCTGGCTCTGTGATGGGAAACTACTGCGTTTACACGATGCTCATCACAAAGGGAATTTGCAGATTTTCCAAGAGCAGTGGAAGAGAGGACAGGTACTTTTTCCATTAAAATTTAATATATTTTTATCTTATCTGTATATAACATTTTAATGAGAATCAATTAATTTAATTAATATTGATCAATGTATTTTATTTTCAGCCTGTATTGGTATCCTGTGCTGATAAAAAGATGAACATGAATATTTGGAAGCCAGAAGTTTTTGTCAAAGAATTCGGAAATGTAGAGAATGAGGTTGTCAATTGCCGTACTGGAAATACTATCATTGGTCATACAATGGGAGATTTCTGGGAAGGTTTTGAAAACCTAAAGAGTAAGTACCCTATAATTCTGTTTTTTAACATTTGAAAACACTGGTATCTTTTTCTGCAGTTTTTAACAAACTTGTCAAATTTCCCAGAAACATTTATGAATTGTTTTATTTTTAGACCGTCCAGTTGATGAAAATGATGAGCCTATGTTGCTGAAACTAAAGGACTGGCCACCAGGTGATGACTTCAGTGAACTTCTGCCATCCCGATTCCAAGATCTGATGCAAGCACTGCCACTGCCAGAATACACTCAAAGAAATGGAAAACTCAATCTTGCTTCAAGACTTCCTGACTTCCTTGTGCGTCCTGACCTGGGACCCAAAATGTACAATGCTTATGGTTCCTCTCAGTTCCCTAAAGAAGGTACTACAAATCTACACTTGGATATATCTGATGCAGTCAATGTTATGGTTTATGTTGGAATTCCATGGGATGGACCAGGAGGCCGGAAAGTCCAGGAAGAAGGTAATTTATTCTTACTGACCTTTCTACTAAACTTAAAAAGTAACTGACATTTTTCTAACTTGCTAATAAATTACACATAGTCTACCTGTTTATAAAAAGATTCTAGAATTTAATCAACAAACCTTTTATTGCTTCATGATCAAATACATTTTTTTAGCTGCTGTAAAAGCCATAGATGATGCAGGCTGTGATAGTATCACCAAGAGGAGAGTGCGTGAGGTGCATGAAATACCCGGTGCTTTGTGGCACATATATGATGCTCACGATGCTGATAAAATCAGAGATTTTCTCAACAAGGTATTTTTTCTTTTTGAATAATTTTTGTATTCAACTTTCCCGTTATAATAGGTTAACTAAAAAGTATCTCACAAATAATTTGTGTAAATGTTTACCCAGTTTAGAGAAGTAACAATTGTATTGTAATAAAAAAAATGTTCCAGGTGGCTAAAGAGCGGGGTGAAATCATTGAGAAAGACCATGATGCTATTCATGACCAGAGTTGGTACTTGGATAAAGAGCTCTGTGATAGGCTTCTTAAAGAGTACGGAGTCCAAGGCTACACTATTGTCCAGTGTTTAGGAGATGCAATCTTCATTCCTGCTGGAGCACCACATCAGGTATGGGATTTTCTTTTTACAAATGCTGCTTGCTAAAAAAAAAATTAACATTAATGATAGCATGTCTCATTTAACTTGTTTACAATTTTTTTTATATCTTATGAATTTTATTTGAAAAAATTTTTTTTTTTTACCTAGGTACGGAATCTTCATAGCTGTATTAAGGTGGCTGAAGATTTTGTCTCACCTGAACACTTGAATCATTGTTTCCGACTAACTCAAGAGTTTCGTCAGCTGTCTGAAACACACTCCAACCATGAGGACAAACTACAGGTAATTTTTAAATTTAATATTAGATTTAGTTCATAGTTTTGTCAATTCTGTTGCCATACTTTTTGATGTAAATCCTCCAGAATCTTTCAACATTGATTTTTTTTTTTTTAGACAAGCTAGATTCTACTTAGTCAAGCTTAAAATACTAGCTTTTTAAAAAAATACTTTGTTTTTCAGAATATCAGTACTTTAATTAAATTTATACTTTTTCTATTAACAGGTAAAAAACATAATATATCATGCTGTTAAAGATGCTATAGCTGTGCTGCGAGAACATGACCCAGATGACTAATAGATGAGAGAAATACCAAGTTAAATGTGTGTATGTCTATACGTTATATACATACTGCACTACTAGATTGACTGTCTGCTTCAAACTTAAGCTAACTCATGGAAATGGGCTGTGCTTCAATAACTTTGTAAATGATGAAAAAACCTGTTGCAGTTACAAATTCATCTCCAAAGGAGATTACTGCTTTATTGAAGAAGTGTGCACACAATATCAGAGAATTCAAACAATTTTGTGTTCATTGAGATTTCTGTCTGTCCCAAAACATTTCCTGTCTATTTCTTTTGAGAGCTGGTGTTTTTGGATAGCAATCATTCTCAAAATATGTCTGTGATTACTGTTTTGCTGATTTGTAACATAAGGCTATTATTCTTATTTGAAATATAGATAAAGGGAAATAACTCCCTTTGATCACTTCTATTACTAAAAAAAATTTTAAGTTTCAAGATTGCAACTTAAGTATTGATAGTTAACATTATCCCTGGTTGTGATTGAAATGGCAATTTTGCATTTGTTTTTTTTTTTTTTGTTTTTTTTTGGTAGTTAAATTTGTAATGGCACAGCCTTTATTCTGAAACAAAATGCTCTTATCACATCTTGATTTTACTGCTTATCTAGTACTCATAAGAAATCACAACAACAAAAATTGTAAACTGAGGTACCTGATGGCATTGATTTGTTTGTCTACATCCTAAATGATTTTGTTGGAAGTTAAATTTGCAACATTTTCATGTTATTCATCATTTAAAAAAAACAAATAAACCTTGTAAAGATGTGTGTCTTTAAAGAGCCAGATGTTTTGAAATAAAGATTGTACATAACAGAATGATAATATAATATAAAATGTAGATATGTAATATTACAAATCTTTGGTATAATGTTCATGTTTCTGTGATTGTCACATAATATTGATGTATTTAGACCTGAACAGATGTTGTGATTTTTTTTTTTTTTTTTTTTGCTTCAAATCGGGGATTTGTTTATTTTAAATTCAGCATTCTATATTTGTTTTCCTTTGGCCCTAATCTGTCATAAGCTTTAATCCATTTGAAGCTGAGATAAATCTTTAAGTTGCTTTGCAGATTTGTGGCTTATATATTATCTTTAATTATATTTTTTCTTTAACCGTATTCACATTGTAAAAAAAAAAGTTAATTGAAAAAAATATGTATTGCATCTTTGTATATCTATAACTTGCAGTAATTAGTGTTGATCTAATTTTGTCCCTAATGATTTATTTATATTATTTGAGTACATGTACATTGACCTTAAAAAAAAGATGTTGGGGCCATCATATGTCAAATTAAACTTGTGGTGCCCTGTGTTCATAGAAGTATCAAGTTTTTTTTTGTTGATCATAAACCAAGATATTGTTAGCTTGGTTATTTGTTGGATGTTTACTTTTGTTATTGTATGACACAGAAATTCCTGTGTTGATTAGCAGAGATTTTAAAATTTAAAAATGATACATCACTTAAAGAAAATTTTCGTACGTGTAGGTGTTTAATTAATCATATCATAATATTAAAAAAAACCTCCTCTGGGAAAACTTAATGCTATATTGTTTATCTAATAACATGAGCATAATTTTTATTCAATCTACCTTTGATATTTTCTGATAATGGGAATGTTTAGTTTTTATTATTAAATTAAAATTCATAAAGTAATGATTTAACATTAACAGATGGCACATCATCATCATCATCATAGTGCCAAAGTTCTCTTCACTATCATTAGCATCGGGTGTGTGTTGGATCACTGGCTTGCCATACATTTGTACATTATCTATTGCATGAGACGTCACACATTTGATTCCATAATGCCACTGCAGTGACTATTATCTACAATGTCGTGTCAACTGGACACATAATAATGTATACCCCTACCCTATTGCATACTATGTTTTAGCTAGTAGCATGTATGCCCGTAAGAAAGAGGGAACAATTGATTTTAGCTAAATGGTTGCAGAGTAACAGCAAGCAAGTGACATTGTGTGAATGTGTCTGATTTTGACATTCAGCAATAGGGTGGGTTTGTTTAAAAGTGTTTAAGCATAACAGCTAGAAATTTTAGCTTTTGTCTTATCTACCTTAATTAAAAAAAATGAATATTAATAAAGTTCTTTAACGTTATAATGAGTTACTTTTGTAAATTGTGATGTTCCTTTTTTTTCAGACTTGTGTTGACATTATTTCTCTAGAGATTATCTTTATCTCAAGTTGTAGTTTTTATATGGTAGATTCTTGGGACATATCTGTTTTGTCCAGAAGAGAAAATAGCAATCTCTTTACAATTGTACTCAGTTTACTGTTATTAGTTGAGTTGCCAGCAGATTCTTAGTGGGTGGGTGGATGCCAAGATGTTTTGGTTTGGAAACTGTTGTAGGAGAAATAAGATAGATTTGACTTTTCAGCAGATCTCAAACTGTATTTTGAACTAACAAAATGTGTTTACAATTTACATGAATTTCCACTTCACGATACGTCTGTTTTCAGTTTCAATGAATATTCCATTAAAATGTAATAATAATTTTAATGAAGCCTAATCATAAAGAAATAAGTAGTATGAACTATAATACGTATGATAGAAAGATACTTTTAAAACTATAAAACAATATTAAATATCGGTATTGAAAGCTTGGTTTTTTTTTAGTTTGTATACCTTTGTTGGGGTATGGGTGACTCCAAAATTATAGATTAACTAATAGTGTGGGTGGACTCTGGGACGTTCTACAGACTTTTACCCTTACTAGGCAACGACCCGTCTTATACAATTCTACCTACCTTGTAAGAATTGCAATTAAAAGACTATAGGGGCGTAAGTAAATGACGTCACGCTCATAGGAGGACTGGGTCGTAATTATTTGTCAGTGCGTGGAAAGGGGGGGGGGGGGGGGGGAGGGAGGGAGGGAGGTCAGACAACATGACGTCACACTCAGTTTAAAAAGAAGTTTTGGTTCTAATTGAATTTTAGCCGTTCGTTGGCATTTTAGAAAACTTTTTTTTAAATAATTGGGATAAAAAGTGATTTAAAAACTCTATGGTGGCCGAACTCAGTCTATAATTTAATAAAGAAATAGATGTTTGACGGAGGGGGAGGTGGGAGGGTAAAAAGCGTCCAAAAAAGCGTGACGGCATTAAATGGTGACCCCCCCCCCCCCCCCCCCCCAATCAAGCATGATCTTCTGGTATAATCTACGCTATTGTTGAAGCCAGAGCTGTAGGTAGCCATCAAGGTTGGTAGTCTAGACTTTGGTAGCCAGAACTGTTTGGTAGCCTAGACCTTGGTAGCCAGAACTGTTGGTAGTCTAGACTTTTGCCAGAACTGTTAGTAGCCAAGATTTTGGTAGCCAGAACTGTTGGTAGCCAAGATTTTGGTAGCCAGAATTGTTGGTAGCCAAGGCTTTGGTAGCTAGAATTGTTGGTAGCCAAGGCTTTGGTAGCTAGAATTGTTGGTAGACAAGGCTTTGGTAGCCAAGGCTTTGGTAGCCAGAACTGTTGGTAGCCAGAACTGCTTGGAAGCCAAGACTTTGGTAAATTATACCGTTTTGAGGGCAGAAAACGTAGGCACAAATCACAAAACAATAGCGACCTTTTGTTTTTGTAATCTTATCAATTTCACATATAAAAGTTAGACAAGGGAAGCGATTACTGAAAGGGGAAATAACAAACCTATTCCCAACCCACATGACACCACGAACCACACCACACCAAACCACCCACCCCCACACTCCAATACCACACCATATAGGCTACCCCACCCCCACACATCGATCCGTACCGAAACACATTCCACACCATACCCTACAATCCATGTTAATTGTAGTTGAGAAAACGATGTACCGCAACTTTAACGGTATTTAAAATTTTGGGTCCTTGGGTTTACATCTGGGCCACCATCAACCATAATATTGGTTTAACATTTCGATCCACACAACTCTTTGTAACATCATCTAACTCCTGTAAAGTAAGTAATTTCTCAAAATAAAGTCCACGACTAAGGCTATATGTTGTTGATGAGGAATGCTTTCCAAATCTGACTGATAACAGCTTCTCTATTACCCAAACTGTAGGGCTGTATTTATATCCAGGCATAAATTGAAGGGAACACTTTATGTCCAGCAGCCTCCGTCAGATCAACTTATCCCGTACTCCATGTACACTAACAATTCATCGCAGCCTGTGTAAAAAATATTTACTACGTTCAATTTTTTTTACAATATTGTGATTATTGTGGGCTGTGGGGCGTTACTGTTTCGACCCCTCCTCCCCCTCGTCATAAAAGTCTGAATCCCACCACCCCTCTTACCAAGGCGTGTGACGTCATTTATTGACGACCCCAGATATTTACAAATTAATATTAATAGGCCTAGGCCAGTAGGCTACAATCTACAGTCATGCAGATTTGATTAGATATTACTAGATTAGAAAGCAAAAATAATCTTTAAATGTTTCCGGTATTTGGAGAACACTCTTCATAAACAGAGAGAAAAAAGATTGTTATGTAAAAGGGAAAAACAAAATGGCAGAAATGTCCAACAATGAGCCCAACAAAAAGTTCTTCTATCACGAGCACGCTTCCAAACTTCTAAAATGTTTGAATGAGTCAAGAGACCGCCCTAATCTTTGCGATGCAACAGTTACTATAGGATCTTGTCAAATTCCAGTTCAAAAGAATATTTTGTCAGCCGCTAGTCATTACTTTCGGTGAGAAAACTGAATTTTTGTTTTTTACTTTTTTACAAATTACAATTCTTTACTAGTTTCTAGATCTAGATCTAGATCTATATTTTTATTATTCTACTCAATCTATTCTGTTTCAACTAAAGTTGAACTAAACTAAAGTTGACTAAAGTCATCTATTTCTAAAGTTACTCTAGATCTTGCTCACTCTAGCTATAAGAAGCTAGAATCTAGCTAGATTCCTGACTAGTAGATTGGGTGTTGTCCATAAATGACGTCACACTCGTAGTAGGGGGGATGGGGGGGGGTGTCCGTAATTTTTTGATGGTGTGTGATGAGGGGGAGGGGGGATTCAGATGGTGCGATGTCACACTTTTGCATTATAAAACAGCAATGTTAGAAAACGATTTTTAGACGTTATTTTGCGTTTTAGAAAACAGTTTTAATAAATTGCAATAGGAGTTATTTAAAATACTCTATTTTGACAGTTCAGACAAGATTTTGGAAAAACATTGATGTTTTAAGAAAAATTCAACTGCAATTTTGAGGGGGGGGGGGTGTAGGCTGAGTTGTGACATCATTTTAGGGGGGGGGGGGCTTGGCTTTTTGTGCCGATGTGTGACAGATGGGAGGGGGGAGGTAAAAATCGCCCCAAAAAGCGTGACGTCATTTATGGATGACCTCTTGGTAGAATCTAGATTCTAGATCTAGATCCAGTAGCAGTGTTAGGTACATAGGTAGAGCATTAAATCTAGAATTCTAGATCTACATTCTAAAAGTCTGATTATAAATAATATTCAAGGCATTTTTAAGGCTGATTCTAACCCAAAAAAGACATTCGGCAGATGTAGTAAAGTTCATCTGTTTCAATTACCTGACATACAAGGGAATAGTGGGTTCCCTTAACACTACTAACATGAGTCAGGTACCCATCAGACGGCATAAGAGATGGGTGGACTAAGGAACATCCTACAGACTCAAGCCCGTAATAGGTTATCAGTCATATTAGATATTTTTTTGTATGACCGGTATTGGTTAAGTGGTTAATAGTACTTCATTGTGAGAATCTAGTAAAATCATTTGATTTTTTGGAGTACTTTTTCAAACAGTAGCACAATAAATAGCTGAAGTTAATTAAAAAAATTTAAATTTAACCTTAGTATTAAGGGTAAATCAATAATAAGGTACGTGAAATACTGTTAGTGTTACTAAATTTTCAAAATTCTTAAATACTAAATTTTTGTTTTCTCCAGGGCTCTGTTTGATTATGATGACCATGTGTCCAGCAATATTAAAGAAAAACAAGGATCTTCATTTGTTTCCCTTGATCACATGGGTATCGATGAGCATACATTTAAAAGCATCCTAGATTTTATCTACACAGCTGAAGTGAAATTGAATCCTGGGAACATACAGGATATGCTACAGGTTTTATTTTTAAAATAATAAATAATAATAGAAATAGAACCCTTATGTGAAAATTTTAAATAGTAGTGTTTTATTTAGCTTTACAAAAAATAAATTTCATAGCAATTCTTTATATTTACATTTTATTATATATATATATATATATATATATATATATATATATATATATATATATATATATATATATATATATATATATATATATATATATTGCACATAGTCATAGTAAAATCTAAAAAACGAACTTGTCTCAAAATTTCATTAATTTATTTTTATATGTAATCTGGTAGGATAATGTTTGTTCTTGTGCAATTTATTTTGATAAGGTTTTTTTTTTTTTTTTTGAGAAATCTGGGCCATCAAAATATGGTGGTCAGGGGGTGGTTGCTTCTTAAGACTACAGTTATTATAATTAAGTTATATTTATTTCCATTGAATGATCTATAGAGAATAACTGTAATGACTCAAATGTTTCAGGCATCAGATCAACTGCTTATGTCAGATCTAAAGGATATCTGCTGTGAGTTTTTAGATACTTGTATCAACGCCCAGAACTGTATTGGTATTCTTGACTTCACATCTCAGCTTTCCTGCTCTTGGTGGCACTTAAAAGTTTCCCAGTATCTTGACGATCATTTCTGGTCAGTACAAACTTGAGTATATTTCACATTCTGTTAGCATTGGAAATACTTTAAAAGTTAACTGTACTTTACCCTCTCTGCTGCAAAAGATTAAAAAATAAATAATACTAGCAAATTAAAATTAAAACTGGAATTGGTATTACAATTACTCTTTGAGGCAGGCAGAAGTTGAACAAACGAGTTGCTTTGACCTTTTTATTTTATAGGATAGCATGAAGTCAAGACAGTGGTCTGAATTCAAGAATTTTAATGCTAGCATGCTCTAACATTTAATCACATCTTCCCCTGACCTCAATTTCTATCATAATTAACACTTTAAAAAAAAATTTTCAGTGAAGTCAGCCACTTTGATGAGTTTCTTCGACTTGGAGCTGAAAGAGTTGACAAACTGCTGTCAAGAACAACAATTAATGTGAAGAAAGAAGATGATGTTCTTGAAATAATACTGCGCTGGTATCAGTTTGATCCTGATCATCGCAAAGACGACACTGTAAAATTACTGAGGTCAGTGTTGTTTGCCCACCAACTGAGTAAAGATGCCTTGTCTTGGTGCAGCAATGTCAATGGAGAGGCTGGGAAGGAGTTCCTCAATACTCTAGAGGAGTTACGAGAGAAACAGAAAGAAGGGCTGATTACTCACAGAGGCTACACAAGAGTTATTGTTACTTGTGGAGGAGAAGGGGCTTGTGTGTAAGTATACCAACATAAATAACAAGATTCCATTTTGTAGATTCTTATTTTTTTTTAATTTAAAGATTTTGACTACTGTTTTTAATTCTGATGTTTATAAGATATTTTTACAATCAATATATATATACATATATGTCAGTACTAATTTAAGTATTGTTTCTTTAATTTTTGAATACTGATATGACCCAGTGACATTTTTAATGTTTAGATGTAAAAGTTAGGTGCAGAGTAAGTGTTCCCTATTCTAAAAGATGAAACATAGCTGAATGATCTGTTAGTTTAACAGTATAGACACATAGCATTGAGTTGCCCTTGTTTTGAGTTCTCCTCCCCCTATCTAGTAACTGCAGCAGTTACAATATATTTAGATATCTTTGGTTAGTTTAAACTGAATTTTATGTTCCCTCAAATCTATACTATTTCAGCTATTTTAAAGTTTATTCAACTGCTCTTACTCATTCCATTAAACATAGTTAGAAGATAGATTAGAAATAAACTTATTTATTAATTTAACAAAACTTTACTGATTGTATGTACTGGTAGTAATATATTTCTGCTCTGAATTTCAGTGACAAAGATGATTGTGAAATCAAGGACTATGTCAGGTGTATAAGACCTGTTAAAACAAAACATTTAGCAACCTGGGTGGATTTGGCCCCTATGTCAACACCAAGATCAGGTCATGGATTAGTAGAAGTTGGTCAGTTGGCCTTATTTTTCTTTTTTAGTGTCTGTATATTAATTTGTTTGCTTGTAGTTGTTTCATTAGATTTATTAGTTAATAAATATCTAATTGAATTAGAAGTAATCCAGGTTGACCCCTTTATCCTTCTTTTCCTGACACATGGGGCAGATGAAGTAGAGCTCATCTGTTTCAATGAATTTTGCATACAAACCAGGGGATCTGTTCTTAAGAGTTTTTGGTTAACATTTGTGCTGTACCACAAGGCCACATTGTCCTTAATAAATGTTGACTGATTACTGTAAATTATTTTTGTACTTTACAGGTGGTTACCTATATGCTGCTGGAGGCCGTGATAGTAACTGCAGGATACTCAACAGCTGTGAGAAGTTTGACCCCTTCCAGAACTGTTGGATACCAGTAGCTCCTATGAATCACGCCAGAGTTGGGTTTGGCCTGGTGGCAATTGAAAACATGATCTACGCCCTGGGAGGAAGCAATGACATGACGGACCCTCTCCTGTCTGTTGAGGTGTATGACGTCTTCACTGACAAGTGGAAACCTCTGCCTGACATGATTATGAAAAGAGCCTGGGCTTGTTACGTGGCAGCAGGCTCTAAAATTTATGTGCTGGGTGGGGGCATCATCGGCAAATTTTACGAATCAGTCGAGGTGTTTGATACAAGATCCCTCACGTGGTATGCTGTGTCCCCTATGAGGGAGAGAAGATGCGATGCCCGGGCTGTAGCGGTTGGCAGTGACATCTACGTTTTCGGAGGCTTCCGTCGGATTGAGTGCCCCAGCGCAGCACATTCAGGGCACAACCTGAAGCTCTGTGGCACTGAGCTGTACACTGAGAAAAATGACTACTGGATGCCCATCCAGAACCGCTCTGGCTGCAACACCATCTGCGCAGTTGGCGAGACAACACATATAAGCGGCGCACTGTTCTACGATGATGATATACTCCTGGTGGGGGAGCTGGACATGGGAGGCGGGGAGGTCCACACGGTGCGGTCCTTCAACAAAGAATCAAACACTTGGGATTGCGTTATTGTAAACAAACCGTCCCTACAGACCCGCTACCAGTGCTGTCTGTTGTCACTGCCCAAAAATGTGATGTACAGGTTACTATGGGAACAAGGCAAACTAAACTATTCAGACATTGTTGGGGAGGAGAGTAAAATGTAAGCAGCGGAAGTGGATACTAACAGCCAGTGCCATCAGAAGGAAGAACGGTGATAGTCTTGGGCTTGTTGTTGGAGTCCTTGTAATATCTTTTTATTAATCAACCAGTCGAACAAATAAACTTTAAGAAATGCTTGTTAATCTCTTGTATTTCTTTGATTAGCAGATCTTTGCTTGTATTATTAGTCAGTCTCAAATGTTAATTCAAGTTGTTTTGTAAATTATTCATGTCAATTATGATTTTTTTTTGTATTGTACTAAAACATTTTCACTCTTGTCAGAGGGATAAATCGCAATTTAACTGAAAGCAAAATGCAACATTCTAGAGCTGATTTAACAAAGCACCAATCTGATATTTTAAAACAATAAATTATTTTCAGTCTCTTCCCTTTTTCTCTTGAGATCCCAGCTAGAGTAAGACTTATTTTCTTTTATTTTAATCCTACAACAAGCATTAAACAAAAAAAAAGTTTTTCTAAAGAATACTAAATTGTTTTTTGAATTGCATTTATTTCACCTTTCTTCCGCAAAAACTACACTCCCATTCTATTGTGGCATTATGCTGTGGTTCACCCTTATAAAACAATTAGCGTGCATTTATTAAATTCAAGGATTATATTCAGAATAATCATCCATAAACCATTTGAAACTTGGGAGTTTGTATTTGTATATCCCAATATACAGTAAATTTCTTCATACAATAGTCATTGATTATAACTCAGAAAAAATTTAATATGAGTTTTGAATGTATAATACATACATACATATATATATATATATATATATATATATATATATATATATATATATATATATATATATATCATTTATAACATTAGCATTTATTATAAGCTATGTAAAGAATAATTTAACCCTGAAATCTATGCTTTACCTAGTCATGAGGTACATCAAAATTTAAATTTTGTTTGTACGTGTTAATTGTCAAGTGTATTTCTAGTTCCATATACTTAACGGATTTTAACATCCTGTGTATATTTAGTAGTCTTGGTATGGTGTTTCTCTGTGTATATTCAATCTTGTTCTCTGTTTCTATTTGTTATGAAAGTTCAGCTTTTTTAATACATGTACCAAATGTTTACTGTTTTTTATTACATGTATATAGACTAATGTTATAAAGGTGTTACAGTATAATATTTAGCTGACGATATCAAAAATGAATATTTTTTTTTTTTACAGAAGGTATTAGTTTACTAAACAGTAATAATATTCTCTAGATTTGTAGTTAATTTGGGTGAGGTAAATGTTATAAGTACACAAGTTAAGTACCATACTAAAAATAAGCTGTGAATATATAATAATCAGTTATAAAAAATGTATTTAAAAAATTGTTCAACAAATTACAATTTTTTAATATGATCCACCAGCAACGTAAAGATCTATAATTATTCTATGGTTACAATACTTAATTAAAGGATATATGGAATTACTTAGGTACAGTTATTTTTACTTAACCAACTATGTCAATGGCCCAGAGTTGGGTAGATTTAGCATTAATTTGCTTTAAATGTACTCAGCCGTTACATTTGTACTACACTTCTAAGTGGGGAGAAATTATATTATTTCATCCTTTTTATGTAGGGGCATTAATTTTTTTTTCTATTTAAGATTCATTTACTAGATTTAGTGTGTTTTGCCTGAAGAATAAGAACTTCAATATACTTGTGATTGTTCCTTAAGAGATACAGAAACCCGGTTACTGGTATTGAATTAATTGAATAAAATGTTGGTAGTTATCTCCCTGTTAAACATATTAAATAATATGCTAGTCATGGTTACAGCTAGTTTGCCTATAGGACGATTACATTTTCTTAGATATATAAAATATATTGTGAAGTATTTTTCAAAATTTATTTTTTTGTATCTTTGATATGCTGCTCTTGTCAGTTTGATGTACAATAAAAAATATTATTCCCTCTGTTGTTTGTGGTCTCAAATTTTGAATTCTGTTTTTAAAAATGTGGCTCTTGGCCACAGTGTATTCACATTTGTTATGTGGATGTTGTGTAAGAGTTAGGCCAGTCTTGTTACAACTGACCAGTCTATTGAGGCCAGTCTTCTTTCAACTGACCAGTCAATAGCCAGTCTTGTTAAAACTGACCAGTCGTCTTTCAACTGAACAGTCTATTGAAGCTAGTCTTGTTACAACTGACCAGTCTATTGAAGTCAGTCTTGTTACAACTGACCAGTCGTCTTTCAACTGACCAGTCTATTGAAGCTAGTCTTGTTACAACTGACCAGTCTATTGAAGCAAGTCTTGTTACAACTGACCAGTCTAATAAAACCAGTCTTGTTACAACTGACCAGTCTATTGAAGCCAGTCTTCTTACAACTGACCAGTCTCTTGAAGCCAGTCTTGTTACAACTGACCAGTCTATTGAAGCAAGTCTTGTTACAACTGACCAGTCTATTGAAGTCAGTCTTGTTACAACTGACCAGTCTATTGAAGCCAGTCTTGTTACAACTGACCAGTCTATTGAGGCCAGTCTTGTTACAACTGACCAGTCTATTGAAGCCAGTCTTCTTTCAACTGACCAGTCTATTGAAGCCAGTCTTGTTACAACTGACCATTCTATTGAAGCCAGTCTAATTTTTCATTTTGTTAGAGGTTCAGAGTAGCCATTTTAAACTTGATATAGTTAACATATAAATTAAAACTCCGTCACAATAGCTTCACAGCATGGCTAATAACTTTGTGCTTAATTATTATTAACGCTGGCGATTAAGACCTAAATAAAATACAATTTTCCAAGTTAGAATTCCACACTTGCTCAAAATATGAAGTTTATAGTGTAACCTAAAAAAAAACCCTTTCAAATTTCGGACAAAGACTCATAAGTCAAGGGAAGTAACACGAGATAAATTATCTATCTACATATTGATCACATCAGTTATCTACCTTTAAAAAATTGAAGGTAGGCTTTCGCTTTACATCACCCGGCAGTGTTATACCAGAGGGGCTCTTTAATTTAAATATCCGTCACTTACTCGGAGGAGGGGGGGGGGAGGAGAGAGAAAGAAAAACAGAATGAGTGATGTCAAACATCGGCATTTTAAAAAGTTATTTTTTTATTTCAGTAGTTATTTAGCATAGTTTAAAAATGTAATTAAAATAATTATTTTTAAGGTAAAAATCAATTAGATCTATATCCAATTTAATATTTTTAAAAGGAATCTTGAAAATGCGATGCATTTCAGCAACAAATGCTACTGTAAATCGTTCAAAAAAAGAAAACCTTGATCATTTATTGACAAACATATAGCAATGAACTAAAAATAAACTTCTTTTTCTTTTCATTTTATTTCAATTAAAAAACAGAAATGTATGTGTTACATCTGGTATATTATATCAAAATATAAACATTCAATATTTTGAAAATATAAACAAGTAGTAATTGTTTGCTAAAATGTGTGAAAAGTAGTATGTATAAAACAAAAATGTGTGAAAAGTAGTATATATAAAATGTGTGAAAAGTAGTATCTATAAAACAAAATGTGTGAAAAGTAGTAGGTATAAAATGTGTGAAAAGTATAGGTATAAAACAAAAATGTGAAAAATAGTATGTATAAAACAAAAATGTGTGAAAAGTAGTATGTATAAAACAAAAAATTGTGAAAAGTAGTATTCATTAAAAAAATGTGTGCATAGCACATACACAATATTTGTCTTGCATTTAACATTAGCAAGGTGTTGAATTCCTATGTACACAAGGCATGAATAATTCATGTCTGATTACATTGTAAAATGCGAATGTACAGTAAAATATGATTAGTTATGTTGTTCAGTACAATAGTTTTTATAATACATACAATTAGGTTAAGGGTCTGCAACCGACTGTGACTAAAGAACAAATTGAGGAAGCCACTTTTAAAAGTCCACTTTAAAAAATAATGAGATACCATAAAAGTCTTTTTAATTTAGTGGCAATTAAAGTAGTATACTAATTTTTTAATACTATAAAAATAAAAATTATCGAAAATCCTAATTTTAGTTAACACAAAAAAAAAAATATATATATATAAAAATAAATAATAATACAAATTTTTAAAAGTCGATTTCTTGAGAAAATCATCTGGAAGTGACTTACCTTTTGCAAGTGGCCTCCTTACAAATGAGATGGTTTCTTTTAAAGGTAATAAAAACAGATGCACTGAATAATATGATGTTACTAACAACAACAATTGAAATTACTTTAAAAAAAACTATTGTTGGTATTATTCCTCTCTCGTTTCTACGTTAAAAAAATTGTAAAACAGCCCATTGATTAGGCGAACGAGAACTTATCTTTGCATTCTTTTTTTAAAACGTAATTGATTAATAATGCATGTCATTTTTTTTTCTATTTACAAATGCCAAACTTTATAAAAAAGTAACCAAACTAAACTTGCCTTACTGTAATGATGGTAAGTACAGTGGACAAAAAAATCACGCGTAATAAAAAATTATTTACAATGTACTGCTGTGTTAACATAATTAGTAAAAAAAAAGTGACCGCGGTAACCAACATAAAATTTCAAATTAACATTTTTATGCTTTAGTAAAAGTAGATAGCCGAAATTCAACGTTTTGCTTCCTTAAGTAACGCACCATTATATTTTATAAGATAACGTTAAAATCATTAACTAACGTACCATTTACCGTAACAATACAATAAAATTAACACTGAACACTTTACTGGCAAAAAAAATAAAAATAAAACTAGCCAAAATTTAACTTTATAACTCTAAAACATAATATAGCTGATAAACTGGCACATAATTTAACGGTTGCTCAATTCTAAAATAACACAAAGTTGAAATCAATTTTTAAGGCCTAGCCATGGGTCTGTGTTGACGATGAATTAATCCAAGTGTTGAGGAAGTTTTCCAGATGATTCGCGACGTGGTAAGTGTTGACGTAGATGCAGGTTCTGACACCGGTGACGTTGGGGTACACGCCACCAGTGCCGCACAAATCACAGCTGGGGGTTGTCCCGTGGGTACAACTATTATGTCCGCGGACGTTCCTCAACCATCCAATCGCATCGCTGGTTATATCCACAAGCGTCTGGTCCTGTCGATATGTAGGTACGTGACGCCTCGGGTAATTATTGTAATCAGCTGATGATCTGAGGCTGTCCATGTTCGATTTTAAACAATTCAGCATGTTTTTGTACCATTTCAAAGTACAATATCTCTCGTTCTGAAAATTGATAATTTCAAATAACGCATTCTTTTCTCTTTTTTTTTT